CAGGACAGAGCAAAAGGCTGAGATGTCCTTGGCTTGGTATAAGCACTGCTCTGCAACAATTAAAACATCAGGGTGTTATCAGCACTCTTCTCATCCTAAGCTATCTCCATACTTGGTGCCTTTTTGAGAAACAAAAAGTAAGGGTACACCTAATAATTCCTTTAACAATTTTTTGAAGATAAAAAATATGAAAGTGAATACACATCGAAGAACATTCCAAAGGGACGGTCTCTTTTAGATTTGCAAAGAAGCACAGAATTGGTAGTATGAATAGCAGTATTGGATTCCATGGTAATCTTTCAGTCATATTATTGCAAACTGCTGTCCTGCTCACATTAATGAATTATATTCCAGTTAAAATCATTCACTAGCTGTATCTGTCTTGGGAGACATTTACCTCACTGCTCAGACGTTACCACAATTTATTATATAGTATACATACCTGCTTTTACCTCATTCATTTAACAAAGCAGACTTTAAACAGGTTTTCAACCTGATAAAACCATCCATTCCAACACTCTACACTCTAATATTCAGGACTAGATGTGTACTGAGCTACTATTTTAAAGGCTGTGATGAGAGAGTAATAAGGTATCACCTCACAAAGTCCTCCATGGAATACGTATTTGAAGAAGTATTGCACAAATTTAAAGTAAATTGATCTTGAGCTAAGGGCCAAGCAGCAGGAATTCAATCCATCTGTAGGTGAAAGCAAGCATTAAATTTCCGTTTGATTCTGTAATTACACGGGGATCTTACATATACGTTAGACATTCAGAAAATCTGCACTCTTCGGAGAGACAAACACATCCATACACAGGCCCCTGTTTTCAAAAGAAAGACAACTTGGCCAAGTTCGTGATGGTGGCACTACTTTATACCCAACCTTCACACAGGTTGTTTTGTGGATCACATTCCTTCTGCAGAAAAAAGTATTTAAGGGAGTTAGCACAGATCCTATCATCTCTTTTATGGTATCTGAGCAAAACTGATCTTCTGCTCCTGTATTTTCTGTTTACATATCATTTTTCCACTAACTTAATCTCTGCTTATGGAGTTATATGTAGGGAGTCTCACAGAGCACCAACCACTTGACAAGATCCACTGACGTGCCTCATGCATGCAAGTATTTAACTAAAATAGTATAATAAACATTAGCTTTGCAGACCAAAAAGAAAGGGAGGCCATCCTTTTGAAAGCCTCTATACACTTACGTTTTTAGTATTTTTGCTTCCAAAACACTATGTTAAGAATAGATTTACCAGGGGGTGCATAAAGGAGCTACAGATCCTGCTTGAGCCCATTTGCTCTGTACAGATTGATGCGCTCTCCATGTCGTACGACAGAGGATACATTGTGCTGTTCAATGGCACCCTTATTCACATCCTGCCAGCATCCAGCCCTGATGTATAGCGGTACTGTGTGAACAGATGGCTTTCATGATAGTTTTGAAACTAAGAAGGCACCAGTATGAATTGCAATTTTATTTTTAACCATTCTACAAGTGATGCCTACAATCTAAGACACAACTGTATCTAATGTGGTGCTAATCACAGGTGTGCAAAAGCGCCAATAGGAATAGGTGGACAGTTCTGAATGGTTACCTTAGATAGATCACATGCCTCTAAAGAGCAATCCATACCATGGAGAGGTTTAAAGTCCTACCATCAAGTTAGCAAACGATCTTGCCGTTGGTTTTCAGTCCTCATCTTTTTCTTGTGGTAAATACATTAAAATGTGATGAATTTAACAAACTGCTCCAAAAACTACATCAAGGACACTTCTGCAGCCTGAATTCTGGATTCCTGGATAACCAGAATAGTATGACTCAGAGGACCCTATCAGCTTTCCAGTCATCTATTTTACAAAAATACTTGAAGTACTTCTTAAACATTTCCAACTATAATTGCGTGGTTATTTTAGCCCTTTGCATTTACACTGTGAAATACTCAAATTAAACAAGACTAATTGCACATTCTTTTTGTACAGGATGATATTTATCCCAAGTGGTGTAACTGTCACTTTGCTTATGTTACACTGTGTAACGCAGGGTAATACAGAGATACCCAAGTTAACTGGAAAGAACAAGATCGTGACAATTACAGCAAAAGCATAGACAACATGGAAGGGAAGAGAAGATGAAGGAAAACTACATCAAGAACATAACATTCTTAAGCTTCCACAATTGGGCAAATCTAAGTAGCTTTACAATATTTTTACCAGTGAATAAATCTCTCTTCTCTGGAAATTTGCACTAGGAACCCTTGTTAGAATCAGAATCCTGTTCTAAGAGCATGATGAAAAATGTTGCACTCCAAGTTGGAAATTGGAGAGGAAAACGATCCTGTATGCGTAAGAATTGTACTCAAACCGCTGATTACACTTTTTCTTCCCCCTTAACAGATGCTTACACCTTTTACTTTTAACCTGAGAAGCAACGGGTAGTTTCCACGTTTCCCTTGGGGATAGTGTACTCTTCTGTCTTTTGCTTCTGTACAAACAGTTCAAAATTTTAAAGTCATGTTGTCAGACATACACCCAAACAACCTTGCACGGCATTACATGTTCCACCCCCCCCCCCCCCGTTCCTCCCCCCAAGACAGATCAAGCCCTGAAGGCAAGACCAGACAAGTAAATAATGTGAACATAGAAAAGTAACTTGTAAATACATTACGTTTTGGCAGTTTTTTGGCACTTTGTGGGGCTCAACTGCGCTTCAGTGAGAAGAACATCTACTGGTGTGAACTGAAATTATGCCTCTGTGCCACAATGTATTTTTTTGTTTGTTTGTTTTCTGGGGGGAGGGGGTGGGGCAAAATTTCTTGTGGACACCTGCAGGAGTTGCAAGATAATAATAAAATGTAGGTGAAGGAAAAGTTCCTTCTGTGTTGTTGTTGGTTTTGTTTTCTTTTCCATGCAGTCTTAAAATGAAGGTCCCATTTTCAGGCCCTTGGCAGAGTGTAAGCATGCCAGAATACTTCACGCTACATAGATCATATTTGTCTGAAATGATAATATCATCCTGTGAAATATGTTCATCTGATTCGTGTCAATACGGAACAATGCTAGGGCCTCATCATGAAATGTGACCTTCTGTCTTACATCCTCTTGTATAAATAACCACAAGTCCAAGAGAAACAGAGTGGTTAGTGTATCTAGTTCTTGTATCTTGCAAAAGAATGGTCTAGCAGTTCATGTTGATAGAGGGTTTGAAGGGTAAACCTTGAGACTCGGGTCTGGGAGATAAGAGCATAAGGGGGAGTTTTTTGAGCTAATTGCTGACTATTGCATGAGACACAACTTTCTGACATGTGGCCCAGAGACCACTAAATAAGGAGCGGGGTGGTGGTGGGGGGAAGCTGAGGAACGACCGAAGGACGAAGCCTGGGAGGAAGACTACGAGCCTTCAGTACGAGCAACCCCCAGAGGGACTGCCAGAGACTGATACGTATGCATCCGTGGGATGGTTCGGGTGCCGGGAAACTAATTATAAGAACCCTGCCTTTTCCAAAAGTGGCGATGAATATGTATTAGCCTAGGAGCATAAAAACCAGCCGCCTGATGTAACTGGTATGCGTCTTGGTGGAGCAGAGACTCCCGGCGCACCCAGCGCTGTTTGCTTACCTCTATTCCTTTAATAAATTGTAAACTTTGATTGTAACCCTATTTGGGACTCAGTCATTTATAACAATACCTATAGTCTGCTGCAGCCTGAAAATTAGCCTGTGCCTCAGGTGCTGTTTTCTGCCTCTGCTTTTGTTACTACATCCTTGTAAGTTTTCAAAAGGGAAATGAAGTTATCCTATTCAGAAAAAACACCATCCAGAAGAAACTTTGGTTGATTTCAGGGCCTGAATTCTCACTGAAACCAAAGGCGGGTATAGAATCATAGATTATCCCAAGTTGGAATGGTCCCCTAAGGATCATTGAGGCCAACTCCTGGCACCACACAGGTCTAACCAAAAATTCAGACCACGTGACTAAGTGCACAAGTCCAAATGCTTCTTAAATGCCGACAGGCTTGGTGCAGTGACTACTTGCCTGGGGAGCCTGTTCCAGTGTGCAACCACCCTCTCAGTGAAGAACCTCTTCCTGATGTGCAGCCTAAGCCTCCCCTGCCTCAGGTTGACGCCATTCCCTTGGGTCCTATCACTGGGGACTGAAGAGAATAGATCGGTACCTGCCCGTCCACTCCCCCTCGCGAGGAAGCTGTAGACTGCGACGAGGTCTCCCCTCAGCCACCTCGTTTCCAGGCTGAACAGGCCCAGTGACCTCAGCCGCCCCTCATACGTCTTCCCCTCTAGGCCCTTCGCCATCTCTGTAGCCCAGTATCTTACTGACTTGAAGAAAGAGGCTTTAATCTGTCCTGGTTTGTTTACTAACAAAGGAGCACAAAAGAGACGCCTGTCCTTGCCTCTGAAGAGGAGGTGAAGGAAGAGCCAGTGCAAGGAACACAAAAATCAGTTGCGCCAGACTAACACGTGGTTGTATCTGAGCTTGGAGACCGCAACCCTCTTCAGACTTCCAGATCTAGAGGAACACTTTGGCTGCAGCCTAAAAGCCATGTGTACATAAGCTCCCTCAAGCCAGCCAATCTTCTTCCCATGACCTGCCAGGAAACGGCAATGTGGGCATGTAACCAAATCAAAGCCCAGACCTTCAGCCCAGTCCTTGACCTGAACAGTGAGTGAGGATCCGGATCCTGGCATTTATACGTGATAGCTTATAGGCAGCGGAAGTAAATAGTGTAGTCAGAGGTCACGGGGCTAGATTTTGAAAAGTCCTGCATAAGGAAGACATCTCAGAAAAGCAGATTTAAATAACATTAATGCCAAGAAAAGTCATTCTGATTGCTATTTTCTTTATCTGTCGTGACTAGACAGATGAAAATCTATGATAGCAATTTTGCCTTTAAGGTCATTTTCTTTGATTTCTTTGATTTTTTTATCTGTATATCTATTTATTTATTTATTTATTTATTTTAGCAGGCTCTGTACTAGTTTTCCTGACAGAATGACTGACAGAAATACGACCCTTGTGCACCTTTCCTAGTTAATTCATTAGGTCAACTCTAACCACTAAGCCCCTTGTCAGGTTATTTCTATTAGTGATAAGGAGCAATTGATCTTAAAAGACTGAAGCCAGGTAGAGGAGCCTATTCCACAAGGTCTCTTGGCTCCACCCTTGTGAAGTGAAATCTGCCAGGTGTGGGTCATTTGACCTTTGCTATATAGGAAGCTTGAGGAGCTGTGGGGAATTGCCTTCCTGGGGGAGTCTGAGGCTCAGGTTGTTGAGGGTGCTTTTCTGCTGTTGTGGGGAAGTGGGCTTAGTGTTCCCCTGTGGGCTGTTTTTTCTTCGTGTTTTCTGCCATCTATGTGAAATAGTTTTAGTGACTCTATGAGCTAGCTATGTTGGCGGTGCCTTCTCAGTACAGTAGAACCCTGGTGGTGCGACTTCCCTGTGAAGCAGTGTGGAAGTGACTCTGGTTCAGAAGCTGGCAGGTAAGTGTTCCTGGGTTCTACAGTTCTTTAATGCTGAGGAGTTGGAGTACTTCCTTCACCTTGTCTGTTTTCAGTGAAACTACTCATGTGGATTCTAAGCTCCCTTTCCAGCCCTTAAAAACATAATAATGATGATAATAATAATGGTAAATAAACATAAAACCCCACCAACTCAGAGGGTCCCCAGGTTCCCTCCTATGGGTCACAGACAGGGATTTAAGCGTGTGATGTGGCTTGTCTGGGTTAGTAAGGCATGATTGTCTTATGCAAGCGGAGTACTGTAATCAAGGGGAACAACTTCTAACATAAAAACATCTGAAATTTGACAGATCCAAAGGCGGCCCTTTGAGCTGCCGACAGCATTAATACTAAGATAATTACATGTGTGCTGTACTAAGACTATCTAGATAATGAAAAACTATCTAGATGCTGAGTTGTTTCTGCAATCCCAGGTCCTTCTTGCCCAGATCCTCCTCCTGCCCAGCGTAGCGGGCTGTGTTCTCTTTAACGCTGGCCAAGCTTGTGGATCTTGGTAGCTCCTCACTGTGTGGGGACTGCTGGTGCTTTCTCCTGTTCTTCCACTTGCTCTGCGCATTTGTTAGGCATGACCCTTTTTGGGCAGAGGGACTTGTTCAGATCACGTGGGCAGGTTTCTCTCCTGCCTTAACTGCAGCAATCCTTCCAATTTGCTGTTGGCCAGCAGTCCTGCTCCCACCAGCTCAGTATGGAGGGAAAGATCCATTTGCATATTGCTGCCTCAGGCATGACTGGGATATGCTGGGTGTTCCCTATCTGTTATCGCTGGGTGTAAGAAAGTCCAGAGCTGGGGCTCTGACTACATGCACTGACTCTAAAATGTCCCAGATATTATGTCATTTACCTGTTTTGTCCAAAAAGCGAGTGGATCATTCAACAGCTGTGCTGCATCCCATGAGAGGCAATGTCATACAGGCAGAAAGGATTTCTGAGAAACACAAGGAGTTTCCAATTAGGTTCAAATTGCCTATTTAATGAATGAAGAATAAAATGATTACACTAATTAATATTATGATAAAAGACTGACTTAAGAATCACTGATAAGTACTTAACTATTATTAGTCAGAAATGCTGCCAGATCATACATTATTTCATTCACTTCAGAAAAGATGAAGCTTTAATGGTTAATGTGGTTTAAGGTTTATGTCTGTTCTGGTTCACAGAAATTTAACTGTTTGCTTCCTATTTCCACTAGCAGCCATGTGATTAAATCACCATGATTTCTTTTAAAGAAAAAAACCAAAATATTAGTAATTTCTATGATGTTTACAACTCCTAATTTCTCTCCAGACCAATCTCTCTGCTTTGTGGACATTTTCAGTTCTTGTCTCATACTACAAAATTCACTTGAGTATCACGATCATACTATATTTATAGTTGCTAATACGATGAGTGTGTAGTCAACTGCAGGCTAAAGACATCAACTATTTGTTGTTGTCCTTTATAATGATTTTCAAGTATGTACACACACCTTAGCAACGAAGCTCCTTTCTACTCCAAATCATGTTTTGGCTGGCTCAGTATACTCATTCTTAATTTTTTTTTCCAAAAATTGCACCAATTCAAAAACTATTCTACATAGATTGACTGAAATGTTGTGAAGGCGTACGTTTGGGGTCAGGTGGAGAGGAAGAGAAAGGTTTTAGTTACATCAGAAAGCAAAGCTAATGTATTAAAGGTGAATATGAAACAAGACTACTGAGAAGTTAAACGATGGCTTGTAACAACCTATAGATCAAATTTGATCAATTTTCTTATTCCTCCCGTGGATGCTCAGCTATCACCTAACTAAGCGTGGAGCCTACTGATGACTATGTGACTCTATTCTGAGACATACCAAGAAGAAATGTAATGTAAATGGCAAGCTTCTCACCGAGCACTTGCTCCATGTATCCTGAATTTTCTTGCTGTTCAAAGATGGCTCTTCAGCCAGCACTGACAGGCTGTACCAGCTACCACTAAGTTTTTAGCTGTAAGGATGCTTTCAGGGCAAGGGTAGGAACTGGACAATAGGAAACTTCTGGAAGCTGTAATGAGTAAGATGACAGTTACAAGAGTGTACTTTGCTGCACCTCCAACTCCCATCTGAAATGCAAATCCAAATCTTTATATCTTCATTGCTTTTTATTTATGAAATAATACACTGCAGTCTTCTCAGACCTCTCACTTTCCCTTGTATTCTTGGTAATCAGCCCAAAGGATACTTTATCAGAATTTGGCCTATACCGGAAAATATTGTTGTCATATTAAAAAGTCCATATACAATTAAGAGGACTACACTGCAAATTGTAAAATAACTTTTTCATAGGAAACTGGCCTCATTGGACCAGTCCTCTTCTGAAGAAAAAATTACCCTTGGCCTTTTGTTTAACAGGATATACACAGCAGATGCTCTCCCATGGGGTTTCTGAGATATTATTCCACAATTATACATAACCACAGTGTTTGACAAAAATCTGTGGTCTATTTCATTTGATGGCTTAATGCTAGCTCGTCAGCTGAAAGTCACAGGAGTCTTTACACAACAGAACTTGCTACAACTTCCTAAAAGTGTAGCTGTATACGTTTTTCTTAGACAAATAAAATAACTACTGATCATAATGTGACATTGCATACAATAAAGTACAGAACATGACATTTCAAAAGATACTAGAATTAACTATCACTACTCAATCTTTCTGAGATGTCTTATGATCTTACACGGGTGTGAGCATCAGCCCTGGAAAAACCCCACAGCTAAATATTTCTGGATGTGGCAGTAATACCTTTGGAAGCATTTCTTGTTTATGTGTACTGAAGTCTCTCTACTTAACTCCCTCAATTGCTCAACCCCTTTATTAACTTTCTCTCCTATGCCCACAAGACATTTATGCATGTATTCTGAAGTTCACATTTTGCCATGAATTTTTAAAGTCACTAGTTTGAACCTATTTTTAAGGCACAAATCATGCTATATCTATAGCCCTCTGCCCCAGAGGACACCCCTTCCTTGTCTGGTCACAAACTAGAATGATTAAGGAATAAGTACAGCAATTATGTGAAGGGGGGGAGGGAGGAGAAGAAGCCATGGTGAGTTATACTGTGGGGGCTCTTGGCATCACTACAAACTTCTTGAGCAGCAGCCAGCTAAACAATCCAATATCTCAAAACTACTTTTTCTAGTTACATCTTCTGAAAACTGGAACCAGAAATGAAGAGGTTATACAGCCAGGGAGCAGGCACAGCAGAAATACTGTCACCCCCTGGCCAAGGCCAATACTCTGATAAGGGAACATCTACACAGAGAACAAACTACATCACCTCCACTCTGGCCTGTAATAAGAATTTATACAGCTTTTTAAACAAAGCTTTAGATTTTTGTAGTACTTTGTCTGTTGGTTTGGTTTTTGTTTATTTTCCATCCTGCCACTGTAAGAACTTTCACCTAGGGTTGGTTGTTCTCTTCATCTGGTGCCACAGCTTCCCAGTGGAGCCTGTAGGAGCCAGGTTACTGTGCTAAGGGCTGATTCAGCCCTGATGGGAAAGGGGTGGCAAGCTCAAGACTTCAGTATGTCTGCATCAAGGGGAAAAGCCAGACTCCACCTTCTCCTGCCACCATCCTGATGCGAACAGGGCTGTTTCATGCTCCTGGGCGTAAGCTTGCCAGTAGGCAGTGCCAGTGCCATTGTCTTTCAGTGTGGTATAAATACGGGTTGGGCTTTGGATGTATTTCCCTGCCTTGGCACTTGTTAATGGTAGCTTATAGTACCAAGACAGATGAACAGGAAGCAGCATCACATAAAAGAGAGTTGGATGTGTTGTCAGTGCTACCTGTGTTGTGCAAGGCTGCACTGTAGCAATCCCAGGCAAGCATCAACCTTGACTAGTTTCAGAACTGGAAACAGCAGAGCTGTGTCAGCACCGTGCTGCTCTTGAATTAATTAGGCTTACAGATGGAAAGCTAACTTGTTTGGGGACAGACTGTGCCGATACTACACAGCTCTGGGAGCTGAAGCTGTTAGCTGGGAATGTCACAGTAAGAATACAGCAGGTTCTGCGCTACTGGCCAGGGGATGTTAAAAGCAGCAACACTCTACTGTACTGTTGCAGTAGAAGCTATGTGGGGCAGAAACACCCAGGCAGGTCTAAGGGAAGAGCCTCAAATATGAACATGAGTCCAAAGTCAAAATTACATGTTAGTGCTGTCTTTAAGATTTATATAAAACCAGCTTTTGTTCCTTTTGATCTTTTCTGGTTGCCAGGATGCACAGAAAACTGCAGGAAGGAATATTTCTTACAGAAGCAACTAAATATAATTGGATTGCTCACCCTAAACCATACACTGAAGCTCAGGATTTAGTCACTTGTGGTACACTTTTTCTGACGAGATGATGAGTGCATAGGTTGTGAGTGGGAAGTGTATCTGTGGGAAAAGCACCAGGCTAGGCTGAAACTCAGGTCAACATTCAAGGCACCTCACATCTCAAGGAAGCAGTGATATGAGACAGTCTGCTTAATCAGCCTGCTGAGGCTGCTGTAGGTAGGATGCTCAATGTCCAGGTTGTTGTTGCAGATGTCATAGATGGCCTCGTTGTCCACCATGAAGGAGCAGTCAGTGTTCCAGGGTGGTGTGGGTGGTGAGGACAGAGTTGTAGGGCTCCCTCACTGCTGTGGAGACCTGCAGGGCTGGGTACGCAGAGAACTCCAGCTTAGATTTCTTGATGTTCTCCACAGAGAGCTGCTCCATGAGGCAGGAAGTGAACCCTAAGCCCATGCCTCCCCCAAAGCTGTGGAAGACCAGAAACCTCTTGGAGCCTGCTGCACTGGTCAGCCATTTCACAAGCCCTATCAACAACTGAGTCCCCATCTCCTTCCCAGTGGTGTAGTAGCCCTGAACACAGCTGTTGGCAGCATCTTCTTTGCCATTGATGGGCTGCTCCAGGTAGACGAGTGGGCAGTACATCCCAGTCCAGGCCTCAGCAATGGTGGTGGGCTCCAGGCCAACAAGCATTGCTCTGGGCACATGTTTCCCTGAGTCTGTCTCACTAAAGAAGGTCCCAAAGGAAGAATCTGTTTGCCCTGAGGATGCCTTGGAGGAAACAATGCCATCTAGCTGGATCCCATGGTTCAGGGGATACTGTTCCCAGTAGGAATTCTCAGAATCACAGAACAGTTTGGGTTGGAAGGGACCTTAAAGCCCATATAGTTCCAACCCCCTGCTCCCACCAGACCAGGTTGCCCAAAGCCCCATCCAGCCTGGCCTTGAGCACCACAGATGGGGCATCCACAGCTTCTCTGGGCAGCCTGTGCCACTGCATCAGTGTACACATAGTAAAGAATTTCTTCTAAATAGCTAATCTAAATCTACCCTATCTTGGTTTAAAACCATTGCACCTTGCTCTATCACTATACACCCCGGTAGAGTCCTTCTCTGGCTTTCATGCAGGCCCCTTTTAAGTACTGGAAGGCTACTATAAGGTCACCCCAGAGCTTTCTCTTCTCCAGGCTAAACAAACCCAGCTCTTTCAGCCGTTCTTCACAGGAGAGGTGCTCCAGCCCTCTGGACATCTTCATGGCCCTCCTCTGGATCCACTCTAACACATCCATGTCTTATGCTGGGAGCCCCTGGGCTGAACCCTGTCCAGGTGGGGTCTCACGAGAGGGAATGGAGGGGGAGAATCACCTCCATTGACCTGCAAGCTATACTTCTGTTGATACAGCTCAAGATACAATTGGCTTTCTGGGCTCTAAGTGCACATTGCCTGCTCATATTCAGTTTTTCATACACCAATACCATTTCCACTGCTCACAGTCTCCTCACCATGCAGCCTGTATTCATGTTTGGGATTGCCCATTTGGATGCCAGCCCGGCTGCTGTTGACAGAAACACACTCCCTCATGGCACTGTACCACCTAGGCTCCTTACCAACACCACACCCATCTCACTAAGAGCACAAGGGATTATCTCCAACAGGAGGTGGACTCGATGATGCTTGTGGGTCCTTTCTAACTTGGGGTACTCTTAGGATTCTGCGACCCCCACAGCAGTAATGGCTCCAAAACTTGTTTGAGGGTCATTTATCTGAAAACATAAACTACTGCCTCTTGGGGTGTTAAAATACAAACATGGTTTTACCCAGCTCCTTAGGGAGTCCTGCTAGTCAGTTATGGCTAGCAATTTTCTGTCTCTAATGACCAGACAGAAATATGATCAATTCCTCCAATTTAGCTTCTGAATTAAAAGGAGAGAGGGAATTATAGTGAGGTGCTTGCCTCCTGACTCACTAGCCTAAGCTGGAATGACTCTAAGCCACTGTTTTCCACTCCCTCACCCGATTATTTCTTAGGGGAGGGAGCCAAGGCATATGTACTAGATGATGATAATATAATCAGTCAAAACTTAGTTAATACACATCGTTTCATTATTTGTATTGATTAACACCCTGGCATCTAGTGACAGCAGAAAATGAATTGAATTACACTGCACATTAGGAAACCGTCCCACTAAATCAGGGTTGTAAAACTTGAGATGAGGAATAGTGTGTGTAAGCACAAATACAAAAAACATGACAGTCCTAGAAGTTACTAATGGTATGGCAATGTATGCAGGGTTTGTTTTGGTGGTAAGCATATTATTAAGTGATCCTTCTTCCCTATTAAAAATGTAAAGCCTCACAAGGGGGTATCTCCTAAGAATCTGTTGATTAAGAACCTTGTTATGAGACTCATTTTATTTTTTATGTCTCAGACCAAAGATTTTAGAGTGGCACCCACTTGGTTTTACACATTTTATCTTCCTTACGTGTATGCTGCATTTTGTAAACATGCAGGGAAGGGTTTAAGCTGAAAAGTTACAGATGAAGAGAACCACAACACACACAAAGAACAAAAGACCTAACTCGAAAATTAATCTTGCACTGATATTGCCTGGCTCAGAAAACAGTATCCTACTGGAAATAAAATTGGGTTAGGTTTACTAACTCAACAATTCTACTTCTTGTTGGGAAAATAGGACATAACTTGTTGGATAGGTGTTTACATTAGCAGCTCCTTGCACGAGTAGATTCTTATGGGAAGACTCTTAACTTCCCAGGATAACACATTCAGCTGAACTGAGCCTGACCGGTGTTTTGAAAGTACTTAGCTGTGCTTCCTAGTCACTTAGGTAAATTATAATGGTCTGTTTGTTATCTATAGATCTTAAGGGCTATGTAAGGCAAATGGTCCTACTTAAACTGTAGTTTGGTACAGTTGCAGGACTAAAAATGAAATTAAATGTAGAACAGGGTGGTTGTAGGGGTCAGAGTTCTGAGCACTAATTTATGCAATCAGAACAGTTTTCCTATATTCAATATAGAGCAGAAAGGCAGGCTTTGGCTTGCAGTAAAATACTACTGCCAACTTAAAATCAGAGTCTACTGCTAGTTACCAGATCTAAATAAACAGTGGTTCAAAATGCTGGATTACAACAGTACCAAGCTGTGAGTTTACACTTCTGCCAAGAGCTGTTATTGAAAGGCTCTCTAAACCGATGCCAAAATAATATTAATCACTAGAGTAAAATGCATATGTGACTTCAAGCCCTTCACAGCAAACTACCGTATATCTTCATCCATATTCTAGCTTAAACATTCACTCTACAAAGCAACATGAAGCTTCCAGGATTTCTCAGGAAATAGATGGCCTGCAATATCCTGATGAGTTTTCCTCCAGTGACACGATTTTTTTTTCATCCTCCCACTGCGTTTTCTCCTTCCATTCATCATGTATATATAGCCAACCTCACGGAACTGCAAGGGGAGCTGGCGGGGATCCAGCACAACCTGTCAGCACAGGCAGCAGGAAGATGGTGACTCAGCAGAGGTACTGAGTGTCTTTGCAGTCTGCTGCAGCACTGCTCGCTCACAACCTTCCTGGAGGCAAATCTCTCATCTTTTACACTGAATGTGTCCACAGTTCCTGCTCATCCTTATTTTGATGAAAAGGAGGACATGTCCTCCTTTGAACCTGAAAACATGGAGCTGCCCTACAGAAGATAATAACCCTATGACCAGAAGCTCCATGTGATCTAAGGATTATTTAAGGCTTAACCTGAGAAGGAGGCTGGTAATTTTGTAAAGCAACTCGTTAAAAACAAGATCTTCACTTAAACTGAAATATTAAAAATTATTCACAAATAGCATAATGTCACTCTTTGTGTGATGCTGCATTCTATACAACCATACAGAACAGCTGACATAAAAATCCAACATACTTGGTACGTATGCTGGGATTGCTTATAGAAAACTTAAATTAGCTGGAGTTAAGAAGCAGGCTGTCTCCTAAAGGAGCTATACTGAATGGTACACAAGCACATCTGCCTGGCCGATGGTGTATTAAGATACTTTGTCTTGGTCCTTCAAAATTCATTTTCTTTAATAACAAGAATTTAAATGGCTCCCTCTTGTGGCAAGAGAAATGCAGTATCATGTTCCGCAAAAGCCTGTTGAACAGAAATTAAATGTCTTTGTATTTATATTGCATAGTCTAGTCATCAGTACCTTTCAGTGAATGATCAGGAGACTGCACACACCTATTCCTTACTGCTTAGGTACTCTTGAAATTATCTAAAACCTGTAACTAAGTGTGGCTTGAATGGTTCCCCCTAAATTGTATAAACTTAAAAGTATGGAAAAACAGATGATGAACTACATGCATCACACCCCATCTAACCTGGTAGAGCAGAGCAGACTTTGTGTCTTGCACAGAACTCTGCCCTTAAGTCTCTGGAACACCTGAGCACAGTCTCTGAATAGAATAGCTTTATTTCTGATATTTCTTTCACAGGTGGGCAAATCTGAATCTTGCAAGGGGTGGGAGGAAAAGAAATTAGCTCTTAAAGAAAGCTTTGAGCATAAATGAATCAGTGAATGGCAGGGGGGAAATATAAACCAGATTTCAACAACTCTGCTGATTTTTCCTTCTTTCTAGAACCTAGTAGCTGATAAAAGCTTTGGCTCAGCCTTTTGACTCATGAAGGCTTTCTTCACAGTAATTAATACCTATGAAACACTGAAATGAAGAACAGATTTTGTCACAGAATGGGGCATGCTTTGGTAGCTTTGGATATTAAGCAACGACCTTGGAGACATACACGAAAAATCTTTGTAAGTCGTATTAAGATCTTGGTGACCTCAAAGGGTGAATTAAATGTATACATAGGAAATATCTACCACAGCTTTTAAGTAAGCAGGTCTGAAAAGTTTTGTATCAAGACAACAGAGTGCAGTTCTGTGCTCTTTCAAAGAATCTGTTACTGCATATTTATGAAGGCTTTAAAAAGAAAGAAGAAAAAAGGGTAGGCTCTCTGCATATCAGGACTAATGCAGATGCCTTAGAGCTTGATAAAGCTACTTTGCAGATTGATCTCTGAGGTAATCTCTGATAATGCTGATTCAGAACTCTGATAGCATAGGCACAGGAGACTTTACAGGTTTGAAGTAGGGAGCTCTAAAATACTTTATTGTATATTCTGCTTTAGTTGCTCATCCTTTGTAAAAATTCTTCCATGTCACAGCCTTAGAGGTTGTTAACAGAAGGGATGTCAACACAGTTAGCAATACCACATTATAGAAATGCTTTTCAAGTCTATGACTTCAGAAGTGAGAACAAATTGTTTGGAGGTAGATATGCACAGATGGAGCTACTGTTTATTTACAGAGAGAAAAAAATACAATGGTGCACTGAATAATCATTTTGTATCTTACAGGGTTGTTTTTTGTTTTGTTTTCAGAGGAGGCCTGCATGGTAAAACTGTGCAGAATCTCACAACCTCTTATTTCTAGGATTCAGAGAGGAGCTGAGGAGCATAAAGACTTAACTGAGGAGTAACTGATCGTTTATCAAACCTGAAGTGTGTACTTAAGTTCAGAACTGCTGTCCTGAAAACCTCTTCTTACCTGCTGCCTGGGTCTAGATGTATCTAACCTCAAAAACACCCCTTTTATCTATCCAGTCATGCAAAGTTAGCTTTCTGAACATACCACACCATGGTCTTAACTGAACCAAACTAACTGACTTGTAGCTTAAGCCTGATGGGAAAAGATCAGGCAAGTGGGCACTTCATCTCCTATTTCTCATAGGGTACTCATTCCAAAATTGTTTGTAAGATTTACATAAAAGGACAATGAGATACACTACACATCTATATGTTCATAAATACATGTATATGCATACATATGTGTATATACGTATGCAAACTGAGTGCTCATTTTACTTTAAATATGGTCAAACACTGTTGCTCTTACCCAATAACCTAGTGGCTGGGGCACCTGCCTAGAAGCATGAGATGAATTTCTGTCTTTCCTCCTGGATTCTGTGCCTCCTTTTTTCCTGGGGTATCACCAAACCACAGACTACTCTATAGGAGAGATGCTTGCTTTCAGGCTTTTATAGCTTCTGTGGAGCAAAATATAAAAATTAAAAATCAGAAAAATAAAAATAAACAAACTGATCTATAAATCTCACAGGAGTTCTATCTTCAGTGAAGCAGTAACGGCCTTACAGCTTGGGCTTTTGAGGCCTGTCACTATTAACACTATGCCAATGCTGAAGTATTTCTCTAGTTAAGTTGCATTTTTCCAGCAGAGTTCTGCTTTGTGAGATACAGGCATATCTAAAATGGATCCACTGTAAGGTCACTTCACACCTCTACTACTCCTCTCGCAATGCTGGAATGCCAGATATCGTAAGAGGCAAATGTCAAAAAGACAAAATGTCAAACTGACAAAAAGTTTTCAGAGTTTTCCACCTGTGAAAAGGTTCTATGTTCATCTTGACTCAGTATATAAAAGCCTTCACGATGATTTCATTCCTTTGTTATGTAGCAGAAGATTAATGTGGCAGGAACACACACTTGAGACTATAAGCTAGGGCATGAGGCACGTTCAAGCTATCCCTCTCATGTAGCTCTTGCATTCAACTTAGTAAAATTCTACTCATGGAACTGAAAATGATTACTTGAAGTGTTTATTTCAATAAAAACCGGGAAGAGGAGGGCTTGAAAAGTCTCTGCAAAGCCTACGGGTTTGGAGGTGAGGTTAATTAAGGGATTAATTAGTTCCTTAAGGCTACCTCCTAACGGAGCTATACTGTACACAAGGTCATCAACCTGCCCAATCCTATATTAAGATACTTTGTCTTGGTTCTTCAAATTTCTTTGCCTTTTTTAATAACTAATTACTCACAGCTAATTCCTTAATTAACCTCACCTCCAATGGGAAAAAAGCCAATCCTGAAATAGTAAAGGGTGATAGAACTTAGTACTCATCATTAGATTTAATGCTGAAATGGGAAATATCAGTGCCTCAGGTGTCACTGAATCAACTTGTTGCATGAGGTATGAATTCCAGTAAGCTGACCTATGGTATATATTGGATATCCCCCCCCCCTTTTTTTTTTGGGGGGGGGGGGCAGCCTTATTCTCCTAAGAATTAAGAATTCAAAGTCACCTCCACCAGGCTACTGAGGAAAACCCCACTCCTTCAGGTGCCCTTTCATCACACTTACAGTCTGCTATTCTGGAAATTACGAAGCAACAGTGAGACTAATATTAGAAAACACAGAAAAACACATCAGAAACCTCAGGGCAGCACTCCTTACGCTTCCCAGAACAAAATTAGGTTTGTGGCTTGTTAGCGAGCTTTTGCATCTTGATTCTGCTTAACCTCAGGTTATGAAACATAATCCATCCCTTAAATGAGCTTCAAATTTGGAATTTAATATTCCTTCCTTGTGTGTGCAGGATTTCAGAAAGTAATTCAGTACGAATGAGGATTTAAACAATTTTCCCAGCTGAAGGAGACTTTGCCCCTGATTGTCCTGTACCTCTGCGCTATCAACCTGTGCTTTCTGTGAAGTCCCTAGCTACTTCTACAGTTGGGAAACATCCTCAGCCAGGATCAAGCTTCCTGTAACACACTCTGTAACTTCTAATAGTGAACGCTGCGGCCAGACTTAATCTTACCAAGCTTTTGTGTTAGCGATGCAGCTGACACAAAGCTAACACCAGGTCGCTCAGCCCCTCAGCACCGCTCCACCGCCTGCGCCCCCCCCCTCGCCTCAGCCCCCTCCCGGCCGTTGACCGGCGGGCGGGGCGTGCGCACGCGCGGGGCCGCGGCGCGCGACCTCGGAAGGGGCGGGGCGGGGCGCGCCGCGCGGGGATGCGACCGGCGGGAGCATGACAGGGGGCGGCAAGCGGCGGCCGCGCGGGGCGGCGGCGGAGGCGGTTGGCGAGCAGGTGGCGGTTGGCGGGCGCGCGGCGCGGCCGTTGGGTGGCGGTTGGCGCGCGGCCCCCGGGCTGAGGCGGGGGCGCTGCGCTGCGGGCGGCCGCCGGGAGCCCCTAGGCCCGCGTCGGGGCGGGCGGGGAGCCGGGGGCGCCGCCTGAGCAGGGCAGTGGCGATGGCGCTGGGGTTTGTATTCGGCTCTTGCTCGGTAGTGCTCGGCTTCCTGGCAGTTTGTAGAGCATCACAGGGATGATGCTCTAAAGCCCCCCCCCCCCCCCCCCAGGCTTGCTGCTGCAGCGGTGTGTGCCTGGAGGGAGCATTTCCACCATTTCCACGCCCGTTTTGGTTCACCTTACATCTTCTATTTATTTATTTATTTATTTATTTATTTATTTTTACAGCTACTTAAACTTTTGGCTGCATCTAAAATGTTAGGCTGTAAACTGCACCAGCTCAGACTGGGACTAGCAGAGTGGCACAGGTAGTGAAGACTCAGAGGATTTACGTTCTTTAACCAGGCATGGCAAAATTGTGTCCCTGCTTCTAAGTGTTTGTGTGATGGGAGTTCCCTAGAAGCAGGCTGCTGTGTGGCTAAAAACTGCCGTTTTAACATAATGCCGAATTTAGATTAAGATTGCTTAGTCCTTTGTTTGATGAGCGCATAAAGGTGCTTCTTTAGGGCACATTGACCCGCTGATATCAAAGTAGTGCTTTGCTATTTTGTACATATTAAGAACTTGTTGGGGATAACAAATTCTAATGCTTGTTATAACACTCCTAAGGGTCTCCATGCAAAGTAGATGTTCTAATCTGTATATAGGCTATTCTAAATAACAGGCCCGACTTGTGGTCTTGGTCGTTGTTTTTCTATTAATACAGAGGCTTTGTAAAGCTCTTCAGTGGAACTGGCAGGAAGCAATGAGATTAACTTTTCTTTCCCTATCTGTAGTGTGAAAAAAATGGGGACGTCAAGAAGAGAAGGTCAGATCAGGCAGATATACCTGATGCTCTTCGTCAAGAAGCAGAAACGTGCTACCAGCTTAGGCTACCTGAAGACTTCTACCAGTTTTGGAAGTTTTGTGAAGAACTAGATCCTGAGAAACCAAGCGGTAAGTTTTTGGATTTTATTTATTTATTGCCTTTTTTAAATTTCAGAAAAAACAGCCTGAAGGTAGGCAAACTGGAGGCTGTCAGATGCATTCTCATGCTGCTTCAGTTTGCAGCTCAGATGGCAAGATATTTACATGAGTATAAACAAGAATACTGGAGATGATCACAAAGATGTCAGTCTACTTCAAGCTTTCTGAAATAAAATTAACCACGGCACGTAAAGGATTAAATGTTATCTAAATCTGCCTTTCTTGTAGGTACATTTAAAATATTAAATATTGAATTAAAGTTTCCTCGTATCAACTCAGACTTCGACTCCCTAAAAGTTATTATATAACAGAATATGAGGTCTCAAGGTGCTCTAGAAATGCCACTTTATTTTCCAATGAAAAGTATATATAAGTTAACTCTTAATAACCTAACTTTTGAATGAAAGCTGATTAAACAAAAGAACATCTCAACTTTCCTTGTCTGGTAAACAGTACGTGTGACTGGATTTATGGACATTTTTGGTAGGTGAGTGACAGAGGAGTGTCTTGGTTTAGCTGTGCACCAGCCAGAAAGTAAAACAATTCGTGCTCTGCTTTTCAGATGCACTTGTGTCAAGTGTTGGACTTACACTGGTTGGACCATATGACATTCTAGCTGGAAAACACAAAAAAGCAAAATTAACAGATGTGAACTTCAATCTTCATTGGAGATTCTTCTATGATCCCCCAGAATTCCAGACTATACTTGTCGGGGATAGCAAAACACAGTATCACATGGGATATTTCAGGTATTTAATTTAATATATGCTCTTGTTATGATAACAGTTGCATGTTACTTTTTCTCCTCCATGTTTTCCATGACACAGGATTTGAGAATGAAATGTATACATTAAAATAAACGCCAAATAAATGTCTCTCTAATGTAACAGAATATTAGCACATGGGTTGATACCTTTAATAAATTAAGATCAAAGATGCTGGAGTTGAAGACTAGATTTAAATATTTATTAAACTCACCCCTACATCCCTCCAGAGCACCTTCTGGTTAGTTTTATCTCTAGCCATAATACTTCAAAGCATTATAAAATAAGGGGAGTATGCATTCTCTGTGTGATTATTGATATGAGCTCTTTTCAAAGGCATACTTTTAAGGTTCTAACGTTTTAGACCTAATATTGCTTTTGTAAGGTCTCTGAAGGAGATGTCAGCATGGCGAGTAGGCAAACTAATTTCACTTTGAAATAGGAGAAATGGACACAGCTTGAATATTTGTATGTACTTTTTCAAAAACAGGGATGTGCCAGATGAGCTTCCAGTGTGGGTTGGTGCAAATGAAGCTAAGAAGAACTGTCTGATTACTCCAGTTGGTGACAATGTATTTGCTGCAGTCAAGTAAGGTTCATATTTACTTTTATTTGTAAAAAGTACTATAGAAAAGAAACTGTTAATCAGGACATGTGAGAGGAAATAATGCAGCTATGTCTTTCTTGCATATGTAAAAATGCATTATATAGAGAGTAACGACAAGCCCTGTTTCTGAGCTGGGGCAGGGTAGCATTTATGTGAATATATAATTCCATATGATGCATTAAGCTTTATGTGGTCCTGCATCATGAACTTAAATAACAGAAGTGTGAATACTTCTATTTCATGGCCTGTCAGTTAAAAATGGAAAGCTCTCTAAGGACAGATGCATGCCAATAAGTGAAAGCAGACTGAAGAAAAGGTTCCACAAACAACCCATGTGAAGTGCAGAGTTAAATGATGACATTTGTTTTGAAAGGCCCACAATGAAACTCATCAATATGTATTTATGTGCATGACTTGGATGACAAAGAGCGTGTAAGTCACTGAAGCAGTAAACTAAATTCTTCAGATAGACGGATGAACAGCAGCAGCTGAGTTTGTGAGAATCTTCAGCACCTGCAGATAGCACAAACTGCTTTGTAATGCAAACACAGATAGAAAAGGCCAGAGTACTTTCTGTGCCAAGCTTTGCTTTCTGTGGTGCTTGTTGTTGAGAGGCTTGCATTCCTAAGTCTGTGTATAAATAAATCCTCCACTGCTAATCTTCATTATAAGATTTGGAGGTTTAGTGATTGAAGGCTATTCATTTGTTTGTTTTCTGTTTAGCTCTTTTAAGACATGTTTCTTCTGTTTACAGATTATTTTTGTCAAAAAAACTTAAGGAAGTGACTGATAAAAAGAAAAGTGCTGTTTTGAAAGAGATAGATGAAAAACTAACAAGAACAGCAAAAGAATTGGGTTATTCTCTGGAACAAAAAACCATGAAGATGAAACAGAGAGATAAGAAAGTATGACTTTACTGATCCACTGGAGAGAACTAAGTTCTGTTAAACTGTTTTTTTCATTTACTTACCTGGTTTTCCTTTTTTTCTCTTTTTTTCCTTTTTTTTTTTGTTTTTTTGGGAATCCTTCTATTCAGTAAAGAAGCCTCATTTAGGAATATCCAAATCTCTTTCTATAAAACTTCAGGAGAGGGAAGATCAGTACAAATGTGTTCCAAATAATGGGATTAAGTCAAAACACTTTACTCTTCTACAGCATAGCTTGCCAAGTAAGGCGTTAAAATAAAGAAAAAAAAATAGCAGAAATAGTCTAAAACAAATGGGGAGCATGGAAAAGACTGCCTCATAGTGAAGGTCCATGTAAACGGTTGGGTTGGATCTATGAGAAAGAGTAACATTAAGGATGATGAGTATTAGTAGATGATTTGTTTCCATACCTATTAGAAGTAATTATGGCAGCGGGGATGGAACAAATGTAGTAAAATGCACAAAATATACAAGTGACTACAAGCAGTCCTAGATTTCAGAACTTCGCTGGAGTTTCTGGTTATCTGAAACTTCAGTGCTTAAAAATAATTGCTGTATACTTCAAGTTGGTGTCCTTGAGCCTAGACACTGTATTTGGGTTGGCCACCAGCAGCCAGGTGTTGATGTTGTTTAGTGACGTGAGTGGTGTTATGTCACGGTGTTGACTTATGGTACTACGTTCGATTTCCTGGCTCTTTATTTAGGTGGTGGCCAAAGCATTTCACGGAGCTGGCCTGGTTGTTCCTGTAGACAAAAATGATGTCGGATACAGAGAACTTCCTGAAACAAACGGTAAAGATCTTGTTCACCATATTCTTCTGCTCTGTTAGTAGACAGTCTCCAGTCATACACCTGCTTTGCAAAAGTAAACTGCATTCATGTTTTCTGCCTGAACAATACGAGCAGCTGCGACTAAAGGGGAAATATTTTAACTATGAAACTTGAGCAAATAAGTTTGTTTTATTTAAGTAAACCAGATGAGAATCAAAGAGACATACTAAATGTGAAATAATAATTCCTAAAGTAGTAGTTCATGCTACTACGCAGCCATGCAGGAAGTAGATTCAAAGAACTGATGTACATTCAGGGATTTGTGGGTTTATTTCTTGTTCCCCCTCCTCTTCTGGTGTTGTGGTAACCAGAATTAGTTCCTTGATGGAAGTTCAACACATGAACGCCCACCTCTGTGTGGGGAACTGAGATGGATGGGCATGGGGTAAGAATGAGCTGCAAAGGGAAGGGGGGAGCTTTTTCACCAGCAGCTTGTACCTGAATGTGACCTGCAGGTACACTTTTGGCAGAAGCTGCTTCCATGCCATATGTTTCTTAACTTAAACATTGAAGTATTTCTGCTTTTATTTTTGCAGCTAATCTTAAAAAAATATGTAAGGCCATTGTTGATGCTCCTACTGATGAAGAGAGACTGAAAGCGTTTGCCCCCATCCAAGAAATGCTCACCTTTGTACAGTTTGCTAACGACGAGTGTGACTACGGGATGGGATACGAGCTGGGTATGGACCTGTTCTGCTATGGGTCACATGTAAGTACTACAGCCCCCATCACAACGTGAGGCTTATGTGCCGTCATAACAGCACTGTGGGCCACCGGGCTGTAGCCCTGGAGAGCCACGGTCCCGTTCTGACCGGAGCCGGGCTCCTGGTGCCGAGGAGCCCGTGTAAATGCCCGTGGTGTGCCTGGTCGCCTAGCCCCAGGCACAGCGTGCCGCAAGCTGCTTGTGCTCGCTCCCTGTGGGAGCGGCGGGGGCTGGTGCGGGCGGCAGCCGGGCTGTGCCCAGGGCCAGGTCCCGGGGGGGCGGCAGGTGCTGTGTACTGCAGCGCGGGGCGGGCGGTGGCGGGGTGGGCGCGCTGGTGGCGGCGCTGACGGCGGCCGTTGTCTCCCTGTCGCGCAGTACTTCCACAAGACGGTGGCGCAGCTGCTGCCGCTCGCCTACGGCCTGCTGCGGAGGGGCCTCTTCGCCCGGATCATCGAGGCGCACCTGGCGCAGCGGCGGGACGAGCGCCTGGACCAGCTGGAGCCCTGACGGGCGGCGCGGGGCGGGGCGGGGCGGGGCGGGGCGGGGCGCGGGGCCGGGCCGAGTAAAGGTTGCTTGCACAACACCGCCTCCATCACTCTGCGCCGGCACCGCACCGGGAGCCGCTGCGGCACTGCAGGGGCGGGGGCAGCGCGCGTAGGGGGCAGCTAAGGGGGGACGGGGAGCTCATCCCGCAGGGACAGAGCCGCGCCGCGAGGCGCTGCCCGGCCGCAGGCCGCTGCCACCGCGTCCTTGGATGCCGCCCACCGCGTGCACCAAATTGGGCTAAGCAGGCTGCCCCTTGGCGGTAACGACACAGCACTGACTGGCGCTCATCTGGATGGGGCTGATTTAGCAAGAAACGGGATTTAGAAAATCAGCACATGGTATTACAAGAGAAAAACTGCACTACCTTTCCTACCTTCAGTGTGGTTTCCTAGCTTCGGTGCGGTTTTCCACTACTTTTACTAATCTGAACTTCTTAATACAAAGTGACCTTTGCAGAAGATGCATATTAATTATCATCATTGGTCAGGTGCTCTTCTTCCCTTTTATTGCACAGCTTTAGTCTCAGGCTATTGCTTACAATAAAAGATGAGAAACCGACGAAAACAAAACACTTTCTCTTAGCCAAGCACCAAGCCCAGCCGTAGTGGAGTGACCGATCACAGTCCTTTGTTCATCATAACTGCTGCTGACAGTACTTCTGACAAACAGCATAGGCCCCTAGCACCATATACTCAAATTTCAGCATTGTCCCTTCTTCCAGCAAATGACTACTTCCAAAGCTCCCTTCCTGCATAAATTACTATATTCATTTTAGTTCAGCAGACAGCAAAAGCCTATCTCAACTTTTAATTCAGAAAGCTATTTTCAGTTCTCAGTCATGCATTTCATCTACTTCTGTAGAAAACATCTACTACTGCGACACCACCACCCCTCCCCTTTCAGTCAGCATACAAATGTTCTGTTTATTCAAACAAGCACACACATACATAAACTTTTTCATGGGCACTCAATTCAGCTTTATACATAAAAAGCACTGTCTCAAAAATCCATCTCTTCTCCCCCCTCCCTCCTCTTTCCAGGTTCCACACAGATTTTCATATTAACGCCCTGTAAATCCCACAAGTATTCACCTTTCACATATTTAAGTATTAGCTCTGGAAAAAGTGAAGATTCATGGATTTTCCAGTTTTATCTGTTCTTCTCAATTAGAGCTTAATAACTGTAACCACAACTGAAGAAATACTAAAGTGCATGTACATCATGAATATGTCAGAAAGAGATGTCTAACTTCACCCTACTTTTTAAAAAAAAAAAAAGAAAAAGAGGGCTAAAAATGCACAGTGCAGCAACTACATAATTCTGTCTTTTATACAATAAAAGCACCACACATTTTCAAATTGGGAAGCCAGCTACTCTACAATTACATAATTGAAGCGAATTGGAAAGTATGTTTCAGAAAGTTTTGATTTTTACTAATTTTATATTAAAAATTCCTAGCTCTTCATTTTGTTCCAGGGAAGTTAAATGCAAAAATCAACACAAATACTGAGAAAACATGACAGTCAAAGTAATAAATGGTCATACAGAAGTTTTTAATGTTTGTTTAAATCATCACAGTAATCAGAATTTTTACTGTAATGATATGCAGCTCTACCACACTATTATAAATAAAAACATTAAGATCAATATTAAATACAGCTCTAGGCAACATCACAGATTAACAAAGTATGCATTCTTCATGAACCAGTAACTGACTGATTTAAAAATAATAATAATGCTGACACTTTCACCCTCCCATCCACATTTTTTTCGAATTAGAAACTTGAGTAAGGCGCTGGAAGTTTTACATTAGAAAAATTTTGTTGAACAGCGGAGGCACACATACTTCAGTATCAGAATTTCTAATGCATGTTTACCAGGGACATTTAAAATGTCAATAGGGAAAGCTTAGCAGCCGAGAACATTAAAGGATAAACAATTTATATGCAGCACTTGGGATCCATACTGAAATTATAAAACACAGCAGGGGTGTGAACTGTATTTTAATTCAGACAGTACAGTCTGTAGAATCAGGTGCAAATTAATACAGTACATACACAGCAGTGTTTTAGGATGAGGAAAACATCAGAAATGGCAGAGGTTCCAAACTGATTTAAAGCAACTTTTTATACATGTAGTGCATTTATATTCTTCCACTACAGGAAAAAAACAAAACAAACAAAAAAAAAAACCACAAAGATAACAGATCAGCATCACTGACAGCTTCCAGAGCTGCCTTCCATATAGGGGCCAAACCCTGCTCTTCGTGAAGTTTCTGCAGGTTCACCCAACGTACCAGAACAAATGCTGAACCCCTGGCATTAGCTTTGCTTGGCAGAATACAGCCTGTTGCTGCAACTCAACAGCCTCAACACAGCCGGATTCCATTTCAGCTCCAAAGCTGCTCTTCGTACAGGCGCTGATCACACTGAGCCCACTGGCACATTACACTTTCTACTGGTTCCAGTTACTGCAGGAGATGAGATCGAGTAGCTGGCAGTTTTATACTCCGAAAATAGGCAAAAATTCAGCAAAGCACTTTAAACACTGACATTTTTTTGGAGCTTGCCGACAATACCACAGTACTGTTTCGGGACGTTACCTTGCTTTAAGATGAAGTCATGCTGAGTACTTTGCTGAAAAAAGATGTTTGAGGTAACTGTGACAACTGCATTAGAGATGCCCAAGAATTTAGGCATTAACCATCTCAACCTTTGGAGTCCTGTGGTCATAACTGTTAATAAGGAAATTTTATCTAGCCACATTTTGTAAAACATGATTCTCTACGCCATATTTCTTGAGGTTTTTCCTCCCTGCTTCACTTATGGCACATTGCCTTTGTGTCCGCATGTGTTTGTGACAGTTTGAAAAAATGACTGAAACAAATTAATTGGTGACCGAAAGAAAAGTTAGGCTGTTAGGAATTGGTCAGTTCACCTGCTGCCGCCCTGTGTGTTGCTGCTCAACTTTGAAGTCCTGCCAAACTTTCAAGTACTGGATTTGATTCTGCCCTGCCGCTCATCTTCAGTGGCTATATATCATTTATAGCTCTATATACTTGGAAAAAAGTCAAAAGCAATCTAATACGTAGAGTTGCTTTTTATTATTTTTAAAACCCTGAAGTTTTATTTCTTTTAATAATATTTCTACTATTACTGTTCCAGTTATCTGCTCAAAAAGTAACGGCAGTGAAAGTTACATTTGAAAATGATCTTATATGCATGTTGGATCATAAAGAAACCATTTTGTTTAAACCCTTCATCTAGTTGTAAACATTTGCTAATCCTCCATTACTCAGAGAGGATTGTGAATTATTCTATAAAATCACATTAAAAAGGTAATTAGTTATGTGAGATATTAACTGATTTGTATTTAATAGATTTTTTAATTCATAAAAATATAAATAAAGAATGGTAAAACTTCAAGAAAAATAATATACATTTAGTGCAAGTTATGAGTTACATTTCTTCCTACCATGTCAGCAGTGGAACATCTTTTGTGGAGAAGAAAAAATAAAAATGAGCAGTCTCAAATTTTACAGGGGGGGAAAAAATATCTCCAGTGTTGTAGCATGCATTTTTTACCAGATACACGTATACAGAATTGTTCCAGCTCTTAACTAGTAGATAGCAGTACTCTTCCTTATACTGCACAACATTGGTATATATCCTAGTGTTTTCAATAATACAAAAATTGCATAAGACCAGGTCACATTATTGATATTTTCTGCAGCAAAAACAGTATTTTTCTCTGAAACTCTAGTTTAACGTTTCATTTTTCTCATTATCACAGCGCATGGGCTGAAAGATGTCTCGCATGGCTCTTGCAAGGTATTACCTGTTCCATCTGTTTTTGTTGCAGTGGATCTGTACTGCCCCAAGCATTTCATGATGTACAAACTTACACGTTTAATGGCACAAGAAAAACCTCCCTTCTTGTGATCCAACCTCAGTAACTCACAGTACATCTCAATATGAGAAACAACTGCTTCAAAAGGGCACACCAATTTTAAAGAGGCTTTGTTACGGCTCAGGAGAGAGAGAAATAAAGCTCTTCTGGAATGTAGAAAGGTGACGTGTAATAATTATACATTTCATGAGTTAACACAACAGTTTTCAGTGGTAAAAAGGGCAAGACCTTTCAGTCTCCATAAGATGGCTCAATTCGGAATGATCCCTCCAGAAACAGGGACTAAGAACACATCTCTTCAATGCTGAAGTACCAGGCTGGGGCTGGAGAATTGCGCCACCTCGCACGGCTCTCCCACTGCACTATCATGGCAGACCTGACGCCTCGGGACGCATCCAGTGCAGGACAGCAGCTCTCCCTTCGCACGCTCCCATCAGCCTTCCTCCTCTCCACAGCTTCCCCCAGACCAACTCCTGATTTCCAGCAGCACTGTTACGCAAAAACCCAGCTCTCGTTTCTGATTTTAGAAGTATCTCCCAGACTAAAGTGTTGTGCTATTCAACAAATGAACCTCCTCTTCAGTTTCCTCTCTCTCCTCAGCTATGGGTTTCAGTTGAACATTATTGAGGCGGGGTCTTGGTTTGCCGTCTGGGCCATATGACGGAGGATATCTTTTTTTGTTATAATGCCAAGGAGGCGCCTGAAAAGGACAAATGGAAGACCAATGTTAATCCAAGCAGGAAAATAAGAAACCAGAACAACATCTGTAGCCAAGTCCTTTTTGTTGACAGGGACAGAGCAAAAGTAAACAGCCTGATTTTCTGATTTAGACAAAAACATTTTATTAATCAAAATACTGAATAACCACCAGTTTGTTAAAAGACAGCAATGCTGAGACACCACATTGGATGGTCTCTGACAGCTGCAGTCTACTTTAATGAAATACAAGTAATACAAGTAGAGACCATGACAATTTTTGTTTAACTTTGTTTCCAGAAAAAAATGAAATTTTGATTAGCATATGCCAACAAAAAAGTAAAAAAAAGAGGGACAAAGAAAAAAGAGGTATGAAAAAGAAGTGATATTGATCCCATTTCAAAAGGGATGAATGTGCCAGCCTAGCCATCAGAAGTGATGTATCACTTGATGGCCCAAAAATCCTAATAGCAAATTGAACTCCTCTTCCCTCCTTTTTTTTTTTTTTTTTTTTTTAAATCACAGGGATCTTTCCAGTCTGATGCACTGGCTCAGACCTCAGACAGAATATATGTTCATAGGAGCACACTGTATTCACCACAAAACTTTTGCAAAATAATCAATGGTTAACTAGGTTTTGGAGTGCACAGCTTTAGGAAATAAATTTAGAAAATAAATAGAAAGTAATTATGTTTTCATTTTCAAATTTAGATACTGTGCTCTTATGACAGGGTCTTAATTGCTTTTTAAATTGTAATTTTGTGAAATATCAAAAAGGATGAGACTGTCCAAAAGGGTAATATCACAGGAGAAGCAAAGAGCAGAATGAATGAGCCGCTGCCCTTGTTATTCCGGTTAGTACTTTATTTTTTTCTTATTAAAGGACGCATGAAATACTTGTGAAATATTAGCATAAAATGAGAACATAATTAGCATGTTTTGCACATAAGCAGCTAAACTTGGTGGGTAGGTTTAGTAGAAATGCAGCTATTGCAGAGCAACCCATGTCCAAATTAAGAGAAGTCTATCTCATAACTAAGGTTAGATCACAACATTGTGGTTAAAACAGTATCTAGATTCTGAAGTAAACAGTAAATGTATTAGCACGCCATTTAGTGGCTTAGGATTTCACTGGACTTTATAAGAGGGAGTACATTAGTTGCTGTAGGTAACAGCAGCAGAATCACAAGACTTCATATAAAATTGCAGAACTGTACTTGAAAATAAGAGTACTTCTAAAAATCATGTTGATAAATGGGGATTACAGAGAAGATCTTATGCTGCAATATATTAAAAACTTACTTGGCTTTGCTTCTCGAAAGATGCGATAGTTACTTTGCTATTTAACAGCTACTTAAAGCTGTCAGAATCAGAAATTAGCATATATAGAATTTTTATTTCACATTATGAGGAAAAAAGGTATTCCTAGCTGTGTGCTTTCCCACCTAGGGAAATCAAAAGATCAACTAGATGGATCTACATGATCTGAAGAACAAAACATCAAAGTCTATTGTTTACCTTCCTTTAATGTTGTGACTAACAGTACGTCCACAGTTAACAGCCTGATTTCTACAAAAGGATTTTGCATACTGTTTTCTGTTATGGTTTCTTTAATACAAATTTTTAGTAAAGGAGGATTTCATTGTTCAGCCGATGTCATAAAAGTACTGAACAGTTCACAAGTTTCATGCTTCCTGACTTCTAATGTGTCTAATTATGAGATCTGATATATCTAATCACCAAGGGTTCGACGTGCTGCTTTAGTTGCTCGAGATGCTCTAATATGTTCTTCTTTGTGATGATCCCCAAGACAATCCTGAAACAGATCATGTTATGCTAATAACTGTGTGTGAAATCAAATAAAAAAATTCTAGTCATAACGAAAAAGGTTTAGAGTAGAGCAAAACTAAAAAATAAAATGGATTGCAAGAAAGCTAATGAGATAGTTAAGTGAAAAATGATTCGAAAGTCAGCACCCTTTCCCAGACTTGTGTTTTGTTTTTTTTTTTCTTTTTTGTCTGTCTTCTAAAATGCTCAATCTTCAACAACCCCAGAGCAATATGTTTCTCATACCAGGTACAAGTCAGGGAAGCATACATATACTTCATCCCTTCTCCCAAATTCACCTCTCTTCAGATTTCAGTGGCACTGAAACTAAAATCTACTTTATTTCCTTTTGTTTACTTGTTATTTTCTCCTCACAACTACAGACAATTATGTGTACATGTATTTAACAAGCCACACTAAATAACCAAAGTAATAACGGTCAAGTCACAGCACTTGAGGTTTGAAGCTGCACTACAAAGCAGCATTATTTGGCATCCCCAGGAACAGACAGATTTCTTATTCACCATGGTATAAATCAATCCACTCCCTGGAATGGATGTTCTGGTCACAGGTAGAAAGAATCAGGTTCATCTTTATATAAATCTGTATCTCAGCAATTTCTGCACAGTTCGTATTTGTAACTGGATCAGAACCAGTAAGTTAATGTCTGTCTTCATGTCTACTCAATTTGCATGAAATTTGCCGAAATTTAATAGTCCTCCACATCCACATGGCTATGTATCACTCAGAGTACTTCGCTGACCTTGTTGTAATGGATGACAAACTCATGGAAGACCACGAATTTGTAAACTGAAGTAGGACAACAAATAACGAGTATCACGAAACAGCAAATTTTGAAGTCATCCATACTTGCTGATACTTTATCATAAAGTGATTAAGAACTCGCAGTACAGTTTGACATAGCTTTACAAGACTCATCTTTCTTTAGAGTCAATTTTGACATCAATGGCAACGTTCGAGCACTCAACCACAACAGAAGCTGTAAGATCGTAGTATGTATCACTGAAGTTTTACCAACTCAAATTTCCATGTACAAAACAGGAATAATTGCGTGTCTGCACTGACTTCTAAGTGTCAGATCACGATGTCATTTCTCTCGCATAGGAAGGTTTTTAAAGAGCTACTTATACTTCTGAAAACAGCTATTTTTTATTTGATTTCCTATTTTTTAAGAAAAAAAAGCACATATAAAATGCACCTGTTTTAAAATACACCTGAATAAACAAACTTGGAAATCAGTGCAGTATTTAAATATTTGCCACTTAGAGCAGCAGTCAACAGCAAAGCAAAAAAAATCCCACCCATATTTCAGGTTTCTTGATTTTGTCCCATGAACAGAGATCCTAAATAATGTGGATTAAAAGACAGAGTTTCAGCGTTTAAGTCTCAGGTGACTTAAACGACATGCTAGAGAGAAAGCAAGATACTATGGCAGAAGCTGCAATGCTGTGTGTCAAGTGGTTAACACCCGTGATACAGGAAAGCAGAATGCTGAAGTAGAACAGTACTCAAAAAAAGATCTCGTAATAAAAAAAGAAATAAATAAGAGACAATTTTAATGAACATTTAAACATGTTCAAAGATAGAACATGTTAAACATAGAACACAGTCTCTATGCCAAGGGCCAATTTATTTCATGGTAATCACATGACAACTCCCTACAGTCATATGTACAAACATCCAAATCTTGAGATTACTTTCTTGAAGTATTTTGAAGTGCAGAAGCAAAGATTGCAGACTGAAGTTTCAGAACTAGTGGCAGTTACTTAGTTTTCAGTATTCCAAATCTAGTAGCCTGGTGGTAATTGTCATTACCAAACTCTAGAAGAGGAGGTAGTGAACAGACCTTTCTCTCCCTTGCTTCTTATGAGCCCAGGTAAGCTCAACAGCTGATGTACTTCATATTGACAGAACACACCCAAGTAGGAAATACAGGCTGCTTCACATGAGACTAAATTTCTGTAGGACAAATTCTGTCTCCTCCACAAGTGAGTTGCACACACAAAACTGTTGCTGAATGAAAGCTAGTTTTTTTTCAGAGCACCTTAAGACAACTACTTACAGCTACTGCCTGCTTAGTTGGAATACAAGGGAAGAGTGAGAATTTAAGTGAAGTGCCACTGCACAGCACCTTCTTGACATACAGCATCAACTATATGGATCCAAATACCATGAAAGCTTTGATCCTAGAAGTGAAAATTACCGTGTCTAACTAAATGAACAGTATTGCTGCCACTTTACTCACCCGTTGTGTGTTACAAGGCACTGCCTCAAACCCAGCTTCCGGAAAATATCAACCACTATTTCCATGGGCGTGTGGTCTGTCACGGTGAAAGGGCTCATGTCAAGTATGCTTCTAAGCTTCAAAGGCCTAGGGCTTTCTGCTGGAAGCGATGGGGTATGCTGGGCAAAACAGACCCTGGAACTGCCAACAATCCCTTCCTGCTTCTTTCTAGCACTTTCTTTAAGAAAGAGGAGAGTTGGGGGGAGGGGAAGACAGGAGAAGAAGAAAAACGTTACATTCTTGGAGAAAGATGATTAAGCACAAACAGAAAATTCAATCAACACTACCAGGCTATGATATTGTTATTCTCTAGATGCTGATATCCTTGTTGTGTTTCTATAAACACTGCTTCCTCACCAAGAAGCACTCGTGCAGAAATCACAGCAGCCATCTACCATACAGGTGTAGCTACTGCCCCTCAGCACTCGGTAGCTATGTCAGCTACTACCCTCTCACTCTAATAATTAACTTGCATTTACTGTGTAGAGATGGAAATGCTTAAAAACTATCATACAGTAAGCACACAGCTGCTGAAGAATCTGTCCCAAAGAAAGCCTATCTCAACTGATGGCTTCCCCCTGTAATGACGATAAATGCTGTCATTATCATCATCATAGAACAGCTCGGGTGGGAAGGGACCTTAAAGCCCATCCAGTTTCAACCCCTTGCCACAGGCAGGGACACCTCCCACCAGAGGTTGCTCAAAGCCCCATCCAGCCTGGCCTTGAGCACCTCTAGGGATGGGGCATCCACAGCTTCTCTGGGCAGTCCTGTGCCACCCTCTGAGAGAAGAATTTCCTCCTAACATTAATCTAAATCTCCTCTCTTTTAGTTTAAAACCATTCCCCTTTGCCCTATCATTCAAGTTTTAAGCTTTAAAATGATTTCAATTAGAATATATAACAATAAAATATCGGAAGATAATTACCTATTGCGATAGTTAAATCTCTTCTTAAAGCAAAGCCCACCAGTCTCTGCGATTCTTTTGACATAATAACAGGAAAACCGTTATAGCTGGTTTCGTTGATCAAGTTTTCTATGTCTTCAACTGTCATATTATCCTGCGTCAGAACTGCTAACGGCGGATCACTTCTTCGAGGTCTCATTACATCAGCGGCCAGTGTTGTGTGAGTAAACTCCTCCTTTGCATCCAAGAAGGGATATCCATTCAGTCGGATGTGCGCCTCATAGATGCCTTCCCTACCAAAGGCATCTCCTACCCACTTACTGGTCATGACTGCAGCCATTAGGGGCACAATATATTCCAGCCCTCCTGTTAGCTCAAAGACAATAACTACCAGGGACACAGTCATCCTTGTCACGCCACCTGCAAGAAAAATGGTAGCTATTAACATTCTACAATCAAGTAATACTGAGTTTAGTTTTCCTGTCTTCCTGTTGAGAACTGCAAACATAACTTTGTGTTGCTCTTTCATGCAAACTATGAATTATGTCTTTTTTTGAAGCCAATCTTAAAGTTAAAAATACTGAGAAATAAGGAGATCCAGTAAGACAATAATTTGGAAACAGAATGGTACTAATGCAGGGAAGGAACAGCTAGCAATTCAACAGCTGTATTGTCCAAAGTATTAAGAATTTAATGCTGCTGTTGAATCATAAAACTTAAAAAGAATTCTGAGCTGACTGAATCTTTCTTGACAATGGGACAAGACTTGGATTATATTTCTCTTTTATTAGTAAGATGTTTGTTCCACAAAGGTTTCTGATACCATATCTTCTTCATTCAATAAAAACACATGGTCCTTCTTTCAACACATTCAAAAGTGATTCTCGTTGAACTAATAAAAAAAACCACAACCTCTCCAAGAACTAGATTTGTTCCTCTAGTGTATTTGATTGCTCAAATACTCTTCCTTCAGGAAGAAGACTACTTTTGGCGGAGCTGTACTAATACCTTTTAAGTTTAACTTCTAAGGTAACTAAATTAGGACAAGACCTTCAGAAATCTTCTTAAGTTTAGGTGCCCAACTTCAGCCTCTTTAAGTGAAGATGATTTTCATCACTTTGTAAATCAGACTTCTTAAAAGTATGTCTAACCAGACTCCCCAAATCATTAGGCACTTCTGAAAGCTTTATTTACATAATTAATTTAAAGAACACTTGTTACAATTCACAGTGGATCACATCACCTCCTTATAACAATTTCAACAGTACTTGACTCTTTAAGTCCTCTATACATTTCAAGAGTGTGTTTTCTGGCTGAAGTTGTAGTGACATCTATTGATGCCACAAAGAGACATCAAACACTACTATTTAAATTATTATATTTCTCATCATATAATCAATTAAAATTTCACTGTTTCTCTTCAGATCATAAGCATCTGATGGTTTTCTGTAGATAAGTGTAGTCTTCTGAAGAGAGGGAAGTCCACACGAGAAGGTGTTCCAATACTGCCCATGTTTATACCTCCCTTTATTTTGCATTGTTATTTTGGTAACAGAAAAAATCTGACATCTATTGTGTTGCAATTTAATTACCTAAGCATGCAGCAGCACCAACCATGGCATAAAGACCAGGTGTAATGCAGTCAGCTCCGACTTCACACCATTCTTTGAAAATGAACCAGTCGTGATGGTAGTAAGCCAGCTGCTCCACTGCAATTCCCACAATCCTTCCTGCTATGGCTCCAATTGCCATGCTAGGTATGAACAACCCAGATGGAACCTACAACGGAAACAGAAGAACTGCTGTCATGCTGAAGGGAACATATTGGATGTATATTTTTAGAATTGGTGTGCTGTTGTTTGCTTTCCTTTTCCCTCCAAAAGAAATTCAAAGACTGAAACTGTTAAAAACACGTAAACTGACATCACAAGGTTAGGGAAACTTAACACACACACAATGCTACTGATACTTCTGATGAACTTAGTTAGCTGAATCCATTTTATGAATGCATTTACTTTGTATTTTACTGCATTTAAGAGCAAACCTATTACCGATACAGGACCACAGACTATATTCTCAGTGCTAACAGCACAATTCTTTCCAATATATGTTTGCCCAATCTGAGCTATGCTACTAGTACTGAAAACTTTTTGATTTCTGATTTCCCTTATTATACCTCACGTTCCTCTAAACCAACATTCACTTACTAAACAAGCTTTGCACACAGCAGGATTGCCTTCAGAAGTTGCTTCCCAGCTCCTATGAATCAGATGACCAACAAAACAGGTCATTATAAAAGAAGCTTTGCTTACTATATCACAATTCTCCATATGAAGTAGTGCATATAGAACACTAAGTACATTAAGAAGCAGATAAACTGCTGTTAAAAAAAACAAACAGGTAATATTACTGTTAAAACATAACAAAAACAAAAAAGCAACAACCATGTTTCTGCTGTAATTTTAGTTATTTAATCTGATTTTCTGTTATAAACCAAAACCTGGAAAGGCCACATCACCTTGTCATAGCAAAGTGGTTTAGGGAAATCTTACTGCAAGCTTGTATCAGTAGCAGCAAGAGTGAGAAGTGAGGGTCCATCTAAGAAACCACTGTTGTGCAAAAAAAAAAAAAAACAAACAAAAAAAACATACTGTTCCTAAATGTATCATTAAACCAGAAAAGCCTGCTGCTTCTCCTTGCAGCATCTGTTGGTATCAGAAATACATTCCACTATGGCTGAGGTACAAATCTTAACCACAAGTTGTAAAATTCTTACTTTGCGTCTGAACAAACCTGAACTCATCTTTTCAAAATAACTTCATTACAAAATCGCACTACTGGTATAATAGGAAACACCAATAATTTATTTTTTCCTCTGCAGTGCTGCAAAATCTAAGTATTATTCAATTCCAAACTAGAGATTTTGCCCTGGAATCCAGTAGCTGATGCCAAAGTGTATTTCAGAACCTATTCACATTATTATATTATCAATATTTATGGTTGCAAATAATTTCTAACATGCAAAGCAAGGACAAATCAATACACTAAAGCCTGTCTGAAAGTCAGCTGCATGAGTTTTGTTGAAAGGTTTACTAATCCTTCATTCCCATTCCTGAATTACCTCCTATTTCAGTGCTGATAGCAACAGTATTCCATGCTGTCATTTTAGCATAATATCCAAATCATGCATTTACACCACTACTACTATTTCCCACAATTGTGCTTCTAAGCCCCTTTTAAATTGTTAAAATACATTCTTTTTCCTGATTAAAATTATTTCTTTGTGAACGGTACTATACCCTGAAAAACTAGCATTTCAGACCTAAAACTAGCTGAAAACATCTTTGAAACTGCCTAGATCCTAGCCTATTACAGGAGCATGCCACAGAAATTCAGGCTCCAAATGGAAACTGCATTGAGATGGTTTCTTATTCTTTGTTAACATACACTTTTTTGCATCTACCTCCTCTTCTTTTCATCACAAGTGGATAATGGTTACAGGTCTAACTGATCACAACTTCACAGTTGCATCCCTTTCCCCAAGCCTCTGAATCACGTCACAAAGCGGAGAGCAACCTTCACACAGAAAGAGCAAGGAAAACCAAGTAGGTTCCACCTTGTCCCAGCTGCCTTTTCTAGTGCACACCAGCCTAACTGAAGGTATCAGTTAGAGAAAATGGCTTATACTCTGGCACATGCAACATCTTTGAAACAAGCAAGGAATCAGGATGTGTGCGCCAATTTCCACTTCTTTAGCAGTGTAGTTGGATACCACTCCGGGTCTGAAGCAAAGCTGCAATCCCATCCCAAACTGTTCATCATCAACAATTAAACTGCGGTACAAGCCCACTGAAAATAAATAGTCCAGTATATACATATATTGTACATATGTATACAATCTATTTACTCTTGCAGTGTTGTTCCATGTTAAAGACCGAAAAATAAGTGCTGCCAATCAGCTTTCTGGCGATCCCTATCCATTGCAGTAGAAGCAGCAGGAACCACCAGACCCCACAGGCAGCTGAGTCGCTTTGCTCACCTCACAGACCATCAGCTCCCAAGGGGAAGGGGCAGAACTTGTGTGTTTGCACATGGCTACAGCTCCAGGAGCAGACCTGGAGAATTCGGAGGATTTTAATCATGATTTAATGATTTCATGACCAACTCTTGTTCTTTCCTCTCACAGAAATAAAGCTCACAATATGAATAAATACTATATTCAAGTGACATTCCCTTCTCCAGATGCTGCCTGACATTTTAACCTGACATATGCTTCAAAGCTTCAGACAAATGTAGGTAGCACAATCCCATCAGTGACTGCAGCACAAATCCTTGCCTATTTGTAAAGTGGTAAGTGTATGCTTACAACAGATTGCAAGTGCTAAAGGTATGAGAAAAGGAACCAAAACCAATTAAAGAGGAAGCTATACCTTTCTGTGACTGAGTGAATTCTAACACACTATGTGTGATCCTGTGCTGACAACTCCATGAGAAGGACAGATGCACATGAACAGACGAATGCTAAGAGATACAATTGAAGTTATAATACTTAAATGGTAATAAATGTTGTAATGCTTAAATGGCAGAGCCCTAGATAAGTGAAATTCTATACAACAGAAGTGTAGAATGATAGGTGAAATTCTGACTTACAGAAGACTAACATTTCACGTATACCCAACAGATTTATCTTATCCATCAAACAACATATGGAATATTACTTCAAATAACAGACTGCAACATATTCTCAAATACCAACAGGTGAGAAACACAAGAAAATATTGTTCTATCAATCACAGAATGGTTGGGGGTGGAAAGGAGCTCTCCAGATGATCTAGCCCAATGCCCACTCCATTTTTAGTCCTGGTTCAAGCAGGGTCAACTACAGCAGGTTGCCCAGCATTGCATCCAATTACATCTTGAGCATCTCCAACGATGGAGATCCATAACTTCTCTGCATGACCTATTCCAGTGTTCAACCACCCCCATAATAAGTTGTCTTTTTATGCATGCAATTATTGAATAGCAATGTACACTGTCAGACAATGGAGCTAGTTTAAACACAAATCCTGCTTTGCAGACATTCTGCAAGTCGTGTTTGTGTTAAGAAGCATTTAATATTGATGTAGCTGAAAAAAGTACAAAGGGAGCCTGAAAAGTCAGCAAACAGTGAAGGCGTGGCAGTTACAACACGCTGCTCAGAAAGCAGCCACTGGTTTGAGAATAGCTTGAAGGACTGATAAATGAAGTGACCAGGAAGGACAAAAAAAATAACTGTTTTGTAATGGAAAAGAAATTTCCAGTACAGTCACATGGAAAGAAGTCATGACATGCAATACTTGAAATTTCAGGAAAGAAATCATTATCAGCTCCTTTAGCCTGGGGTAATTACATTAATGTGGTAAGTGAGGAGAGGAGGTACAAAAGATGCAATAGTTCAAGAAATACAGCCTTTTTTGTTTTTCATGCGACAGTACTAAGGAACCCGAGTGGTTGTGTTTGACCTCAGCTGAGCTTGGCTTTTAGAAATTTTAAAATCACTCTCACTGCTCAATCAGGCCCATACAGCCCTCCACCCACACCATTACTATTGTTAATAAAATCTAGCACCTATTTCTATTCTGCTGAACAAACAATGGGCTAGTTTGAATTCAATGAACCTTAACATTATTTTCTACAAGACTTGCTTATTAATCAACAGTAAAAGGTTTTGTTTTTTTTTCCCCATGAGACCTAAAACTTCACATGAAAAAAAAAAACAAAACTATAAATATGCTAGCTTTGAGAGATGGAAAATAAGAAAGGCAGTAATGAAATAATCGCAGTAGATGATGCAGCCATAGCATTCACACTTACCTTGATACCAAAGGTGAAGACCGTCATGATTATTTTAAATATGAGTGCTAAACACAGCTGCCATATAGCTGAATAAACTCCGGTGCCTGCTGGGCGGTCAGGAATATCATCTACTATTTTGCTTGCGTTCATATCATTTCTGTAGTCGCAGAGGGAGGAGGATTCTAACGGCCCACAGTCCGTGAACAGCTCTTTAATAAGCTCACTGGTGTTTAGCCTTGTATATGGATTAGGAAATGCGATGACAGCTGTTATTGCTGCAACAATAATAACCTCCAGGACAGGGTACTTCCCAAATTTTGTAGATTTGCGTCGACGACACCATGCGATGTTTGCTCGAATGAAAAATGCTCCCCAGAGCCCACCAAATACTCCCAGAAGAATAAAAGGAAGCAGTTCAAATAGGTACCAAGGAGTGTGATATTCCACATAAAAAAGAACTAAGCGGCTATTACCAAAAGGATTGATGGACCTTAAAACAAATGCAGCTACTAAAGCAGCAAAAAATGATCTCCATAAAGTTTTCAGGGGGAAATAATAACTGACCTGCAAAAGGCAATACATGAGAATTGTTAGTGATCCGATTAAAAATACTGGAAAGACTGTTTCATGCATGTATTACAGTTCTGTTGCTCACATGTTATACATACTGAGGAAAAAAAAGTCTCATTAGTATTATTCCTATCACTTGGAGCACTGGAGCTCCAGCATGTATTACATTTTTATAAAGCTCTAAAACAATTCATGCTTAGATCAGTTTCAAGAACTAAAGCAATACTGAAACCACTGCTGTCATAAGATGTAAGAAAAAACAGAGTCATTTATGCTTAAAACTTTCTCTGTTTATAAGCATCTCTTCCTAGCATTCAACAAACACCAGATTGGGTATTAGCTGTTCTCTCAAATTTCCTGCTACTACGGTTACATCTCCTTTCAGCCAACAGTGAAGGGTTTCTGGCAGATGTGTGTTTTTACAAAGTATCATTAAAACAACAACAACAACACAAATTTAAATACAACATTCAAGTTCACACTTAAGCCCCATACAAGGATTGAAATTTTGAGTTTTCTTCCCAGCCTGTTTTGTTTTGCAACAAAGTAATTCTTCAAAATCCCTTAATGATACAGAGGAAACTATACAAGGAAGTATACTTTCCTTCTTTTCCCCTTCCTCCCACTCAATTTGGAGATTTTTAGAAGACCATTAATGTAGGATTTCTCAAAAAAATGTTAATGATCTAAATAACATGTTTTTGAAACAAAAAATGCTGAAAACTAATTTAAAAAGAAACTTTTCTTAGTGAAAATAGTTTGACGTCCTCGGTGGTTTTATTATAGTGTATTTGTTTTATTAATAGTTAATGTAATCAATTGTGTTTAGTGTCTGAAACTTTGAAGAAATGTTTTAAAAACTGAACTGTCATAGAACTGTCAAATAGATTTCTAAAGCCTCTTACAAAATGGAAAAAGAAGTCCCACAATTTTCACTTTTTAGAATACATTTATAGAATGAAAGACCGGTGCCTCTCTCTATGTAAACTGTACTTATTGACCCAGCCATTCTCCAGAAAAATATACTTGAAAATAAAGCAAAGTTGACATTCATCCAAAGAAAATAAATAAAAAAAAAAACTTAAGGAGTTTTCCTATAACAGGACTCATAATTTTGAAATGTGGGTCCTAAAATAACTTCTCTCTTAGGAAAAACTCCACAGCTTAAAGGAATCTGAAATTTTTCATACCAAAACATATTTTTAAATCATTTTTCCTTTAATGCCATCTCTTGACATACCTCCTCCAGACTGAAAAGGACTCCACCAATTGGGGCACCAAAGGCTACAGATACTCCTGCTGCTGAGGCAGCTGACAACACCTAGAAAAGACAGTAGGTAAAGAATTTTTCACAGTCTGAGATACACTTTAAAAATGAAGGACACTATCTTATTACAGTTATCAGTTTCTTCTATGTTTCTATCTAGGACACAGACTTGGTAACAGAAATGCATCAGGTGAGCGTATCAGAATGCTTTTAAGATGTGGCCAGCGCTCACAGCAGCTGCTGCTGAGGTACCAGCCACAATGAGGCCATGTACGCTCCTCCAGGCATCCTCCCAAAAGAAGCCTGTGGTTCAATATGAAACTGCTGATAGCTCTTTTTAAAGAAATTGTAGCAAGCTTTCCCTGTACCAGAACACATAAGTAGTAAAGAAGTCCAGCTACTGTAAATATTACTCATTGCAAAGAAAAAAAATCTGTGACAGACTATGCAGTTTTTAAATCAGTCCTGGAGATTTGCACTCAATAGTCTTCAAGCAAAAACTCAAAAAGGCATAAGGTGAACTAAGATTAAAGAGAAATTATTAGGAAACAAAGAAGTGGATGGTCCTGCAGCATCACGGATGAGTAAAATTTAATGCACGAGGCTGGTTAAAGTGCATGTTAATTGTAACAGTATCAGACAGGTTCCTTGCAAGAACAGTGACACCTGAAGCACTTACATACCTGTGGAAGAACACACAGAGAAACTCCAAGAAATATCACACTCGAGATTAACAACGAAACCATGGAAAAGAAATTATTTACTTAAGAATACACAGCTTTGAAACTGGAAGTGAATCCAAGTTTCCTATACAGTGTGCAGTCTTCGTCAAGAATCATGGAAGTTGAGAGTGAGAGAACTACAGCACAGCTGGGAAAACACTTTCTTATTTCACAATATGGAGATTTTATTAAATTAAAAACAATGTTACATCTTGCTACTCACTATCATTACACTTGTTTTCAATAGTATGGCTCTTACTGCCAAAAAAAAAAACAAAACAGGTAAAGAGCCAAAAACACTGTTGTCACCAACCCTTTCCCAGGAGTACTTAGTTCATGAGTTCAGAAATCCTCTGCTGTCCTCACACACAACTGGAGATGATTAGCAAAATATAGAGTCAAGAAGAAGAAGAAAGAATTTAAGGAAAAATGGAATGATCACCGAGATGGGAAAAATGCAGAAATGTTCTGAAATGGAAACAGTTTGCCTTAGAGAATGCTAGGGATAATGCATAGATTTTAATACAAGAAAGAACTATAGATAATTCAAGCCTAAACACAATCTGAGAGAACAAATATCTTCTAAATTAATCAGTGCTTGGATTTTTTCTCTTTTTTTTTTTTCTTTTAAACAAAACATATGGAAAATCAATACGTTCTAGAAATGGTTTTACAAAAACTTACCTCTCGTTTTTTAGCTTCATTTGTGCTGTACTTTGGAAAGAGGTAGGAAAAAATATTCCCACAGCAGCAGGCAACATGTACCAAGGGACCTTCCTTTCCTAAACTCAAACCCGATGCTACAGCCAAGACTAAAGTGATGGTTTTTATCATCAAAGTCCACTTTCCTAGATAACCTCTGATGATGAAGCCGCTCAAAATAGTTTTTATCTGGAAGAAAAAAAATGCTACTGTATTCTACTTTCTTCAGTAAATAATTACTTTTATCATTTTAGACATGTAACTTCAAAAAGAGCCTTTTCAAAGGGCTAACTTTGTGAGACATTAAAGCATGCATCATTCTGATTACTACACAGAGCCCATCTGGTTGCCAGAGGCTTTTCATTTGCAACTTACTGTACAACAGAGAACAATAATGTACAACAACATCATCAATTACATTTAGTAGAAAATGTATCTGCAGTGATTTCTAGGACTACATTCACTGGTTTATTATGTAAATTGTCAAGTGAAAGTCAGAAAACCCCTGAAGGAAAAAATAAACCTGCAAATACTATCATGTTGCACTACACTACAACATCTCACCCTTGCATCAATTTCACCCTTTTCTATTTTTCTGTATTTCCTGTTTTTCCTTCTACAGAAAAATATGGCAAAAGATTTGTTGACATAAAGATGGAAAAAATCGGCCTCTTTCACTATAATGTGTCTTTCACTTTCCTAGGACTTTACTTTTCCTAACAATGTAACGTTACTGCAAATATGCCTGTATATAGAAAATAATACAGCTACTGAAGCAAAGAACAACACATCTATAAATAGGACATGCACAAAACACTGGTCAGCTGTGTCTAGAAAGTAAAGGTTATCTATATTTGGAGACCAATTTAGGATGAAATCTTTTTTGGAGTAACACCACAGATCTACTGGAGACTTACACAAAGGCAGGATTTCTCCTTCAATTTCTGCACTACAAATACATGGAAAATATTTACAGAATGAGTGAATAAATGTGACTGACCAGAATTTTACTTTGTTGTGTCCCCCCCCATCCCCCACTACACTCTGTGCATAGTTGCAGAGAGCAACTGTACAAAGATGAGTTTCCAGGTATACTACACAATTTGCTTTGAGAGTTGATTGTCGACCCACATTGTGTCAATGAACCTCTGCTCTCTAATCACTGCAGGGCAAGGATCCGAGGGGTGCTGGGAAATAACTCTTCAAAAGTTTACTCTTAGGCTAAGTATTTCCATAAAAAGTAGTCCAGCCACAAACACGAAGCAAAAACCTACGAACTCAGTACCTGAAGCTTCACAGCAACTCCTTTTTTTCCTTTCAGCCACAGTTAGCACAATTACCTTATTTAAATTTGAATATTCATATTAAATTATTTTCAAGTAAAAAACCCTCCCTCTTGACTTCCCTCTGACTCTGTAAAACAGCAGGAATTTTCACACTAACATGAAACATCTGTAATGTAATTATTACTTCGACCTCACCTCAGGAATCCCAGAGCCACAGGCATATGGAGCAAACACCTTCACCAGAGACACTGCTAAGAAGGCAAAGCTCAAAGCCCAGAAAATGTACATTATGTAGTTCATTATGTATGAACCTGGCCCCTAAAGACAAAAAGGAAAGCAAAAAAATACAGAAAATGTCAGAATACAAACCTGACGTAGGAGCAGTCACTACTTAAAATAACAGAGAGGAAAAGCATAGTCCTTTGCACATCAGCAAAGTCTGGGTTATACAAGTTTGTGTTCTAAGAGTTCACATTAACAACAACAACAAAAAATAAATTAAAAAATAAATTAAACATAGAATCATAGAATATCCCGAGTTGGAAGGGACCCAGAAGGATCATTGAGTCTAACTCCTGACTCCACAAAGGCCTACGCAAAAGCTGTACCCATAGTACAGCACCTAGTAGCTATAAAAATACTTCAGATCTACTGAATACTAAGTATTCTTTATCAAAAAAGATTTTATGGTAGAAAAAATAAAAGCAATATTCTTAGTTACCTAAGGACAACACAGACTTCATTTCTTTTTTGTTTGTTTGTTTAGTATGATCAAGAATAACAATTCCTGTTGTTAACAGTTCTATATTCTCCTTATAACTTCTTTACACCTGCAATACATTAAGTCCTCTTGCAGTATATACAATGCACATTTATTAGAGCATAAATGATTAATCATTTAAAATGCTGAAAAACTGAGCAATAGGAGAATCCAAACCCCAATTTAGTACCCTGGTCTTAAGACCATTCTTTTCTTTGCTCAGTAGAGCAAATGCCTTCAAAGAAGGGGCATATACTTACCTCTGCTTGCCCAATTATTAATTCTGCCCATGTTTTCCACTGTGGACATTTATCTCTCTCTTCAAACGTGGTCTCATTTGAACCCCAACAACACTGTTCATGGTTAAACCAAAAAGCACTAAGGCAAATGCCTTCCTTTAAGTCAGTCATCCAGTCAGCAGCAATATCGATTAATCCTGCCAGTGCCCCTGTTGTAGAAACAGTTCTGCGTTAGTGTTCTAGGAAGTGGAAATAATAAAAGCAGCTAAAATGAAGTGGGATGGCATTAGCTTATATAAACTGAAATTACAGAAAGCCTAGAGAAAATGACATTTAAAACATTACTGGTTTCGAGGAATATATTGCATTCGCAGTATAGTAGGATATTTGCTGAAGAATCTGGTACCTTGTGTTATTTCCCAAGTTGGATCCCAGAATCACTCAAAACCCCAGCATGGCTGAGGTTGGCAGAGATCTCTGGAGGTCCTCTGGTCCAAGCCCCTGCTCCCAGAGCAGGCTGCCCAGGACTGTGTCCAGGAGGCTTTAGAAGATCTCCAAGGAGAGCGACCACAGCCTCTGTACATCAACCTGTTACCAGTGCTCCATCAACTGCAAAGCACAGAAGTGCCTCCTGATGCTTAGATGGAACCTCTTATTCCATCAAGTTTCTGCCCACTCCCTCCTGTCCTGGCTCCGGGCACCACTGAAAGGAGCCTGGCTTCGTCTTCTTTGCACGCTCCTTTAGGTATTTATAGACATTGATGAGATCTCCCCCCGAGCCTTCTGTTCTCCAGGCTGCACAGGCCCAGCTCTTTTGGCCACTACCCACAGGAGAGGTGCTGCAGACCCTCCACTGGACCTTCTCCAGTATGTCTAACTGTCTCATACCTGAGGGCCGAGAAAGATGTATTTTTTTTGTTTTAATACCTACGCCATACTTCTCCAGCAGTCCACTGACGCTACAGAGTTAAGAGTCAAAAGATGACTGCAATATTTGTCTGACAAAAGAGACAATACACCTTCTGACACAGTATCTTACTATGCCTCAAAGAACTCATGAACTATTTTAGTACATTTTGTAAATATATATTAAAAAAAAATAATAATTCTTACTTTGCCAACAAGGGTTTTAGAACATCATAAATAGAAGGCCATACAAACCCTGATGACATTCATGTAATAGATACACAACATGGTGTATTTCCATAACATGGTGAGCATGTAAACCTCCTACTACAGGTAACAAGCAGCAAGGATGCTAAGCACTTCTCCAACTCAAAGCTTTTTTTAAAAAAAAAAAAAAATAAATTTTTAAATATTTACAAAAACAAAATACCTTTTTCATGGTACTGCAAAACTGCATCTGAAGTTAGTATTTTTGAGAATGCGTGCAACTGTTAATTAGTTATAATTTCCTATTTTTTTTAGGTATTAATCGCTACCAGAAAAAGTTGTCTGGAAACAGCCCCCAGGCTTACTTGTATGAACTGGTAGCAGAGAACTAACTCTGGTTCACATTTACTAATTTCCATATATCATCAGTTTAAGATTCTGGGCCAAAGAAGGTCTAAGTCAGTATTTCAGTGGAACAGAATTTAAACTACATTAATTGAAATACATAAAGTAAGACCTTCTCCTGGAAGAAATCAAGGTTGTACCATTTGAGATTCACTGGACACATACAACATAAAACAACTGAAACTGCAAAAGCTGAGCAATATTCATGGCCAGAATTTGCTAGCTTTGGTGCTCTGAAGCATGGTAAAGCTATTTTAATATACATTGCAGCTTTGGACGGGGAGAAAAAAACGCACAAGAAAACAACACTGCACTTTCCCACTCAAATTAACATCAGCAATTTCCAGCAATTATACACTCCCACTTTGTATATTCAGAGGTATATAAACACGCTACACATTTTGCATATATATTAATTTATATGTGATTTGTGAGAGTGATTATGTATATATTTAAGTAGTAATTATACACTTCCCATGCCTTTTAACAGACATTTCTATATTCTGCAACTAATCAAATCCTCCTAGGACTTAGATCTAATATTTCTGTTTAAAATACTTGTTTGGAAAAACTGAGCAAAACATTTGCAACCTCTTGCTTCTGCATATTTTGGTCACTTGAAACTGTGTGTGCTGCTAGACAGTGACACTGCATCACAGTGCAGCCACAAACTATCAAACAATGTTAGCTATAAAAACTCATCCTAAAATAAACCAAGTGGTAAAGAGTTTTGTTTCCCTTTATAAATCCTCTCCCCCAAAACACTAAGGTCTGTATATCAAGATAGTGACTCTTTTCCTCCCTTAATGAAATTATAACACTAGCCTGAACTAGCTCTTACCCAAGTTGGTAAATAATACACAAATGAAATGTCAAGAAATACTCTCTTTTTTAAGATTACCTGATGCCAAGCCAGTTAGTGTGACTACGAGCCATCCTGACCATGCATCATACAAGCTTTTTGTCATCTCCCATGCTGATTCTTTCTTCTTGCTGTTAATCTGCAAAGAGAAATCATTATGAATAGTTGCATGCGCTTTTTTAATAATAGGAGAAAAAAGTATGCATAAGTAACTGTGTGATGCAAACTGCAGGCAAATATACCCACTCTTTAAGCTACAAGCATTCTCCCAGTATTGCTGCATAAAAAAACTTATTTAATCAGATATCTAGTAACTGACAGAGGAAGGAAAATTTAATTTGAAAACTAAAACCCCAAAATTGCACATTAGGAAAAATGAATACTTTCTGCAACATCTAGAATGTGTAAACGTAAAATTATTTCTATTATTTCTATTTCTCTCCTAAATCTTCCATGATTTACATTGAACTGGACATACTGTATTTCTTTTAGTATATTACTAATAAGCTATTCCATATGACTCAGATTCATAAGCTTCTACTCCAACTATAAACATTTTTCTTTTATGTTTAAACCAAATACCACACCAAAAATGAACAGAAAATAAAAATGAAAAACCTGGATAACTACCTGACCCTTCTAAACAACTATAAGCAATGATATCTAATGGTGCTATACAGAAAAAAAAAAATCATTTTAGCATTATTTACTTTACTTTGTGCATGTAGTCAAAATTTGTCCTCAATGCATTTTATTACATAACTGTCTTAATTTTTTTTTCATACTGTAAAAAGAGGGTGAAAGCATGTACAACAAACAAGGTGCATGGGCGAGGGAGGGGGAATAAATCAAGGAAGCACAATACTAGGCAAGGAAATCTCCAAATCTGCTTTGTTTTTAAAGTGAATTAATGTAAGGATTCCAAAAGCTTGGCAATAAGGCTCCAAATTGTGTATTTCCTCCTAAAAGGCTACTAAACAGATCTATTACAAGACTGGTGGTAACTTATACAACAGCAATACAACCAGAGTTCATGAAAGAACCTGCAGCAGAGCACACTGATAAAGGCAAACAGGCTGAACTTTGAAGATCTTCTGATGAAATGAGTAAAGAGGAGGAGAAAATGTATTGTGATGGAAGAGTGGAAAGGACATTTACTATGCTTACTGGGAATACTTTTTTGTTAAATAGATAGACGTTAATATTTTAGATACAAGAATTTCACTGTTCACAGTCAAAACAACCAGAGCACTGCACAGCAGTAGCAGACATGCACTTCTACCAGTACAGGTACCACCACAAGCACTACCATACTGCTACAAGTTCATCTGCACTGGAACACAGCTTTAAATATACAACCATTGCAATAAAGGCAGTACTATAAAAATATCAAGGAGGCGTGACACGCCTGTTCCCACTCTGTTAAGTTCCTGCTTTCTTTTAAAGTTATAATACTGTTGCAGGACTGCAGGTATCAATGACGCAGTGCTTTTTATGAACAGCATTAGAGTAGTTCTACCTGATGTAAATACTTACAAATTTACAAGTCTGCACGTATTTATATGTATTACTAGACCAGATCTCAACACGAACACCCAAGCCAAAATAAATTCCAAGTACTGCTATTTATCTCATGTACCCGTCTATGCCTTTCTCTGTCTTTGCACTTCTCTCGAACCCAGTCAATGGTATGGAAGTCATCGTACGTTCCTACTCCAGGAATTGGTTCATCCAGAAGATCCAGTAAATGCGTTGAACTGTTGATGCTTCCTCCATTTGTCATTGTATAATGAGTTCCTGTGACAGAGAAAAGACAGAAATTAATAAATTCTGTAATAAACGAAATATTCTAATGATCAAGACATTGCATATAAAATTTCTGTGCAAGCAATTAAGACACTTCCCATAATACGTGTATGTTATGTCACTTAAGTCTCTCGACGTTGCATGTTAATTGTTTTTCTGTTGTTTACGTTAAATTTGCACATCAGCAACTTCATATGTCATGTTGGTTAAATATAAATTAATGTACTAGTCAAATTACTGTTCCATTTTATGTGCAGACTCCTGAGAAATTTCAACAGAACAAAGTGGGGGAAAAAACGAGTGTTTCTGACACATATTTAACTTGAAATTTGCTTCTCTTTATGAACTACTAGAGGAAAAAATGACTGCAAGAAAATAAAATTGGATAATATATGAAGTTCACAGGACCTCCATAAGTTGCCTGTTATTTCTAAATATTTCAGTCTTTGTTTACTACTCCCCTGCATGTCTGAATCAGACCTAAAAAGTATTATCAACAAATTATAAATGCAGCTAAAAAAAAATGAAGCAAGTACTCACAAGACAGCCCTCAGTCACAAAAAGTTAGAAAAACTGTAAAAAGAAAATGTCTTCTACCAATTTATCATCCCTAGCTAACTCCTTCACAGCCAGCTTACACAGCAGCACCCCCCAGCAGTATTTCTTTCAGTAATCACAATAAAAAGAGTGAGACGAATATGGAATGCAGGAAAGCTTTGTCTTTTTAAGCTTCAGCAATTCAAAAAAAATGTCAGCAATTCAGCTATATTTTTTTTTTTGAGTTCCTGTGGTACGTTTGCAGACCCTAGGCAAAATTTCCTTCTGAATGGCTGCCTAAATATAGCACGACCACCATTCCCCCACGCCCTCAGTGCTTCTACAGCAGTAATTGCTATAAAGGGAACATTTATATTGAGGTTAATATAAATGTTACTCTCACTTGTTTGACTAAAAACAAAGCAATTTGGCCAACGGCACATGGTATACCACAATAACCTCTATTCTTAAAGATGTAGGCCCAATTTGGCCAACACTACTATCAGTTCAGGCAGGCCTAGGAGTTTTGTTTTTATTTTTTGGAGTTGTGAGTTCAGCTTCTTGGTGCTGTCAGCAGTTTATAATGTATAAAATAAATAAATAAAAGATCTTTTGCTTGAAAGGTATTGTTTATGCCTTCTATGTAACACAATGCTTCTTTGGACATTTTCTTGGTGGTGAATGACAAAACAAGAAAATTATAATAAAAAATGTGTTAAGACCAAATGCAATCTGAAACTTTCAAGATACACAAAAGTATTTGTTTTAGTACTCAGCACCCCTGCTTTGCTGTTTACATGCAAACTGAAAGGTCTACAAAAAAGATTAGTTTGTTAGTTTACTTTTTTTTTTCATATTTAAAGTGAAAGGGAAAAATGACTGAACAATGCCAACACCTTTCTCTTAAAGCTTCTGCTGGTCTCTCTTAAGACAGATGCTTCCATTAATAAAAGGCTAACAACAGAAACTTGGATCAGATTTGCAAGTGGAGGCAAATGTGAAAATCTTGATCTAGGATAAGGGATTCAACTCTCTTGCCATTTCCAATTCCGGTAACTAGAGAGGAAGTCTAACATATATGTCTGGCTAGCTGAAAGGACAAGGGCATCTAGTGGATGAGACAGTAACCAAAAGCAGCACTGCAGTGATTAGTTTCTCTCTCCAAATGTAAAGGGAAAAAAAAGACAAAATGAAAATGCGTTTTTTAATGCAACATTATCCTTCTTCACAAAGGGGACATAAATTACAGTTCCACCACAGCTTAATTATTCATCTCCTACAATATTTTACTTAGATCAAGAAGCTTCCTGAACCTGAGTGATCACAATAGAACAAAAGCTTACCTTTGCCCCAGAGTGTGGCTTTATGCCCTGCTATATATGAACCATGATATATGAACCAAAACCATTAAGCTCTAAGGTGCACGCAGCTTTATGCCACATAAGGCAAAGGACAGTTGAGAGCTGGAAAAGCATCACAAACAGTAAGAGCTGATTTTAAGCATGTATCATGAAGTGTTGAACTGGATTCTTTCCATGGAAACCATCAGGGATGGCACCACAAACTACACCAGGCCCTGAGCAGAGCTTGGAGTAAACTAATGAAGAAGAGTCCTTGCCTGGGCATGGTAAATATCCCACTGGGATCATGTCAAGCTCCTGTTTTGCCAGCATCTGCTAGGTCACAGGATGGGAAATGCATGGCACACCAAACACTGAAATATAAATGATTATTTATGATGGAGAGAGATACAGAATGAGATGTGAAGCTGAAGAGGTGATTTCCTTGAATGCAGAGCTGTCATGGATGCCTTATGCAGACAATTAGCTGTTACATTATACCAGGAGAAACCACACGTGTGTATATATACATATATATATGGTATATATCACACACACACATATATATACGTGTAGTATATATATATATATATATATATATATATATATATATATGGTATACCATATGGTATATATGGTATACCATTACACCTGAGAAACAGGCTGCAGTGAGCGTGGTATAAAGGCCACCCTGGAGAGGACCACGGGGAAGACAGCTGTTTAAGATGTGATGCTCAGCGTCTAAGATAGTCTGACAGCAGCGGCATAGGACATTCTCCAGCTAATATCATCTATAGTGCCTTGAACTATTCCAAAGCAGCATTTAGAGAAATACACCTTTACCAGTACTTGACACTTTTCCAAGCTTTCACTTCCCAGTCTTCCATTCCTTCTCTAACACGCCACACCACAAGGCACTCCTCTCAGCCATGACAATGATGATTCTCATCAGCATAAACACATGCAAAGTCTCATCATGTCACACCAGTTTCATCAAAGCGTTTTAATTTTCAATTCAACGGATTGTGTTAAAATCTTTGCCATTCATATGTATTTTTCAACATAACACTAATCTCCAAGCAGGAAATTATTAATTATCACACCAAGCATACATGCGCAGCCTCTAGCTACAGAACACTTCCATTTTCTGTATGTACACACCTGAGCTATTCTGCAGCTGCAAAGAAAGTAAAGCCTTCTTTTTCTTATGTATGGCTTTGCTTAAGGCTTTATTAGACTGGGAAGCAGATGGTAAAAAAGTGACAGCAGAACTTTTATTATCATAATTATTCCAAACTAACCCATGTTACCACAGAGAGGTAAAGTAACAACACACTGGTCCTCTCAGAGGCTCCATATAACTCACAGGAAACCTTACGAAGCAAATTCAACACAATCCTTCTATACTTGGCAAAACTTTAGGACCCGAGGTAGCTGGCATCCCTTAATTAGCAAAGTTGTCCAATAGCATCTTCAATAATCTTGTATTCTCTACACGTAGCTAGCAAGCTGCTGCAATCATAGACTGCCTGAAGACAGTAAGCTTCCAGACAATAAAAGTAACATGTTTCTTCAGAGCAAGGAGATTGTCTTTTCTAGGTGATCCAACTGCTGCTGGCCTTGCCTGAGCTGTTTTCTATGAAGGTAACTGACTTTCGTTATCCTTCCACGCATGTAATTCCAAGCCTTCAGCACAATCCTCTCTCAGCAATCAGATCTGATAGTGCTGAAGTACTGCTTCAAGTGAAGTTGATTAAAACAGGGGGGGGAAAAAAAACATACGTAAAACATCGATTACTCAATTTAATCTCTACTTACAACATTACACACAGAAACCATCTTTTTAACTGCCTGTACACTCCCAACAACCTCTGCATATTAATGACATCACGATGCTGAGCAGTGCTGCAGACAGGCTACTGAAGGAATGTTTTGTAGCATCCTCACCTCCCCAAAAACAAATCACACCAAAAAAAATAAAAATAAAAACACACAACACGCCATGGATATGAAATGTTGGGACTCGGTTGGATTCCGAGTTACCCATTCCAATAGTTTTAAGAAAGTATCATGCATTGTGCTGAAAGAAAAAAAAGTATTAGAAGAACTGTCATAAGCATTAAGGTTCACAGTAGAATGCTGCACCCTGGGAGGCCTGATCAGAATGAGGTACAGCAAAACCAAATGACAGCGCTGCATGGGCAAAACCAGAATACAGGAAGCGGATTCCAGTGGCATAAAAAAACTCTCTGAAATTTTTTTGGTTGGTTGGCTTTGGTGTTTTTTGTCTTTAATTTTTTTTGTTTATTTTTAAATGAGACTGAAAAAATACAATCCAAAATAGTTTGAGTGGACACTACAGCTTGATGGAGAAAGCAGTCCTTGCAGGACCTGATACATGCTTTTCTTAATTTCCTTCTGAGCATGAACCAATACTAAACGGCTGTTAGTTCCAAACACTGATCCGATTTCCAGCTGTATTTGGCTGGTCCCTCCTGATATAAGGCAGGAAACCAAGATATTACTAAACTAGTATTTTGCTAGAATCACTCAGGCTGTTTTATACATTACAGCTTCCTCCTTGCCTCCTGTCCCCTTGAGGCAAGGAATACCTCTTCTTTTGTACTCTATATATGCCTCACACAAGCAGTCTCCAATCTTGATTGACATTCAAACTATGATAAACATGACAAAAAGCTGACTTATATGTAGATTACAAAGCATTTGTCATGTGCCATGCAGAGCATTTTCAAAGGCTGCCTCACCTCCTCCAGGAGTGATCCTTCATCCTTTTGTCACTCAGTAGATTTTCAGGTTTGAAAGCAACCCTGTGCAACACACAGCTGATAAAAAATTGTGGGGTATGATTGTTTGGTTGTTTGTAAGGATACCTGCTAAGTTTCTAGCTAATCCATTTAAAAAGATAACGTCAGCAAGGACTAATACTTTTAAAACATATGAGCAGATCACTACTGACTCACTCACTATGGTACAGTTTGAAAATGTTCCAGCTAAAGCATTTTAAAACACTAACAAATCAGAACTTGAGTCGCTGACAGTCATATGCAGCTGCATTTGTCCAGTGAAGGAACCCAGGAGATTAAAACGATCTTT